GACCTGTAGACGGTAGCCAGGATGATCTGGTCCCCTGGCCGTCCATATACCTGTCTCTGGCCCTCGCGTGTGGTCAGACAGAGATGGTCTGAAACTATTCCGTAGACACAGTTCGTCTTGATATTATAATTTGTGTTCCTATCTTTAGAGCGTAAGAATAGGTATGTGATGTTATAAGTTATTCACGCTAAAGAGACATTTCTTCTTTTGTAACATATATATATATATATATATATATATATATATATATATATATATATATATATATATATATATATATATATATATATAAATATATATATATATATATATATATATAATATACGGTTTTTAAAGCTGTCTCTCTCAGATGTGTTTGAAAATTAAAACAAAACTATGTAAGCTGTAATCATAAATAAAAAATAATATGTACTATATTGGGAAATTTTAACAAATATACAAATACTGGTTAACTAATTATGTGGATCAAATGATGTGTGTGTGTGTGTGTTTGTGTTGGAAATCGTCTATACGGAGGAGTGGAAGCAGCAGTGAGTCAGCTCTCACATATGTGTCCCATGATGAGTGTGTCACATATACAACATGAGTCAGACTGACGTTCCTAAAGTGTGAGTCACGTTCCAAGAGAAACTTGCGGAACGTGAGTTATTCTTACGGAGTGTGGAGGGGCTAGGCTTCATAAAATGTGAGCTAGTGAGCATTTATCAGGCTTGCAAATCTTGAATTGGACGCGTGGAATATGATGAAAGCCTAGTCACTCTGAGTTGGTTATGATGAACTCTTTAGTCACTCTGAGTCTGGCTTGATTGGGTTAGGCTTACGGAACGTGAGTAGCCTTATATGTGAATCAGACTTACGCCTTGTGAGTTGTGCCTGAGGAGTGTGAATCAGACTTACGCCTTGTGAGTCAGACTTGATGATCTCTGACCAGGCTTCATGAGGGGTGACCTAAGCTGACAGAAAGACTCATGCATGGTGTAGAAAAATGAGTAACGCTTCACTATGGATGAGGAACATGATTGAGAATTTAAGAACGTGACATACAATTGAGACTTGAAGAACGTAAATAAAAAAATTAAGAAATGTGACCTTGATTTGATTAACACGAAATCTTACTCCTAAACCCCCTTTTAGGGCTTTATTAACGTTGAAACGGAAGAGCTTAATCGGTCTGATGAGACGTAAGAGACTTCAAGTGAACTGAACAACATAACTCATGTTTTAAAAGGATGAATTGGTCGGGAGGAACGGGATTCAGCATTGATGATCGTAAGTCAGAACCAGGGGCCAGATTCACGAAACAGTTACACAGGCATTTACGAACCTGTTCATCTTTTCACAATCTTTGGCGGCTTTGTTGACAATTATTGAACAGTTAATGAGCTCCGAGGCACCAGGAGGCTGTTTATAACAATAACAACAGTTCATTGTCAAGTTTTCATGCTTGTAAAGTGTTTAATAAATGTAACCAAAGCCGTCAAAGATTGAGGAAAGATGTACAGGTTCGTAAGTACTTGCGTAACTGCTTCGTGAATCTGGGTCCAGCTGAAGATTAGGACCAGGATTCGTCAATCACTTCAAGTATTCACTCTACGACAGCTGTACATTTAATCCCCCAATCGTGGCGACTTAGTTTACAATTATTAAAGAGTTTGCTAGTTACGCAAGTACTTACGAACGTGTACATCTTTCCTCAATCTTTGACGGCTTTGGTTACATTTATTAAACAGTTTACAAGCATGACAACTTCCCAATGAACTGTTGTTATTGTTATAAACAGCCTCCTGGTGCTTCGGAGCTCATTAACTGCTTAATAATTGTAAACAAAGCCGCCAAAGATTGAGAAAAGATGGACAGGTTCGTTAAGTGCTTGCGTAACTGCTTCGTGAATCTGGTCCCAGGTCGGTAAAAACTTGATGTACGAGTAAGCTGAACTACAGTAGAGAGAAACGAGTCATAATGGACTCTACGTGAGTACGGTTTAATGGTCGTTTGCTTAAAGTTACGAGACATTCTCGAAGAGTCATTCGACAAAGATAATTACTATGTTTAGGTCTGTGTTACAAGTGGAGAGATTACTAGAGAATTTAATGATTACGAATGGCTTTAAACCATTACGAATGATTACGAATGGCTTTAAACCATTACGAATGATTACGAATGGCTTTAAACAATTACTAATGGCTTTAAACCATTACGAATGATTACAAATGACTTTAAACCATTACGAATGATTATGAATGGCTTTAAACCATTACGAATGATTACAAATGGCTTTAAACCATTATGAATGATTATGAATGGCATTAAACCATTACGAATGGCTTTAAAAAATTACGAATGATTACGAATGGCTTTAAACCATTACGAATGATTACGAAAGGCTTTAAACCATTACGAATGGTTTTATCAGTGGTACAGAATTATTTGTGGAATGATGTTACTACTGATACTATGGTACAGTGCTGCCAGTGAGATAGCTTAATTACTTGTACAGTGTTACTAGGGGTACAGTGGTACATAAATAGTGGTGCATCGATGCTATTGGTACAGTGTTACTAGGGGGTACGGTGGTACTATTGGTACAATATATATGTAGTATTGTGCTACACTATTGATAGATGTGCAGATCTACTATTGGTACAGTATTACTAGGGGTTCAGTGGTGCAGCAGAATTAGAAATACAGTGTGACTATTAACAGTGTAACTGCTAGTGGTGATGACTAGCAGTGGTGTAGTATCATGTGTTACACTGTAGGTACAGTGTTAGTACTAGTACACTGCTAGTATTAGAACCTAACTAGTACAGTGCTACTCGTAGAGCTTTGCTAGTACAGTGCTACTTGTAGAGCCTTGCTAGTACAGTGCTACTCGTAGAGCCTTGCTAGTACAGTGCTACTCGTAGAGCCTTGCTAGTACAGTGCTACTCGTAGAGCCCTGCTAGTACAGTGCTACTCGTAGAGCCCTGCTAGTACAGTGCTACTCGTAGAGCCCTGCTAGTACAGTGCTACTCGTAGAGCCCTGCTAGTACAGTGCTACTTGTAGAGCCTTGCTAGTACAGTGCTACTTGTAGAGCCTTGCTAGTACAGTGCTATTACTGAGCCTTGCTATTACAGAGCCCTGCTAGTACAGTGCTACTTGCAGAGCCTTGCTAGTACAGTGCTACTTGTAGAGCCTTGCTAGTACAGTGCTATTACAGAGCCTTGCTAGTACAGTGCTATTACAGAGCCTTGCTAGTACAGTGCTATTACAGAGCCTTGCTAGTACAGTGCTATTACAGAGCCTTGCTAGTACAGTGCTACTTGTAGAGCCTTGCTAGTACAGTGCTATTACAGAGCCTTGCTAGTACAGTGCTACTTGTAGAGCCTTGCTAGTACAGTGCTATTACAGAGCCTTGCTAGTACAGCGCTACTTGCAGAGCCTTGCTAGTACAGTGCTACTTGTAGAGCCTTGCTAGTACAGTGTTATTACAGAGCCTTGCTAGTACAGTGCTATTACAGAGCCTTGCTAGTACAGTGCTACTTGTAGAGCCTTGCTAGTACAGTGCTACTTGTAGAGCCTTGCTAGTACAGTGTTATTACAGAGCCTTGCTAGTACAGTGCTACTTGCAGAGCCTTGCTAGTACAGTGCTACTTGTAGAGCCTTGCTAGTACAGTGCTACTTGTAGAGCCTTGCTAGTACAGTGCTACTTGTAGAGCCTTGCTAGTACAGTGCTATTACAGAGCCTTGCTAGTACAGTGCTATTACAGCTAGTGTGGCTAATATTACAGTGATAGCGGTACTTCTACAAGCGGTGCAGTGGTACTATTTATAACATGTGGCTATTGGTACAATGTTGCCAATGGTATAACGAAACTAGTGGTACAGTGATGTTTTTGTTATTACCATACCAGTGGTACAGGGTAAATTGTGTTGACAGCTGTACAATGTTATCGCCGGCACAGTGGTACTAATGGTACATTGGTACTGACGGTAAAACATTTGTAATTGTACCATGTTAATATTTAGGCAAAGGTGTTAGTTACCAGGTACAATATTACTAGCTGTGCAATGTTACTAGTGGTACAGTGTTGGTAGTGGTACAATGTTACTAGTTCCTCAGTGGTACAATTGGGGCAGTGTTGCTGGTAGCACAGTGGTACAACTAGGCAAAGTGTACACTTGTACTATGGTGGTGCATTAGTACTATTGTGGTACACTTATACTTGTATGGTACATTGGTACTGTTGGGGGGTACAGTAATACTATTGCAGTACATTGGGACTAATGTTGTACATTGGGACTTGTGAAACATTGATACAATTGGGGGTACAATTTTACTGGTGGTACAATGATGCTATTGTGGTACATTGGTACTATTGTGGTACAATGGTACTATTGTAGTAGTTCCTATGACAGTATTGCCATAGGTACAATGGCACTATTTCGGTACAATGGCACTGTTGTGGTACAATGATACTATTGAAGGATATTACTAGGAATCGACTTGTTTATAAAGTATTACTATAGTGATATCAAACTATCTTTAGTGCATTTAGCAGTGAAATATCACTAATAGCAGACTAATGCTAGTAACACAGTTTTCCTAGAGGCTCCTGACTATTGTTACTAGTGGCAATTGTAATGATTGATAGCAGTGCTATTGGCAGGGGGTTACAGTGACGGCTAGCAACACCGTACTACTAGTAAGACAGTGACGTGGTAGATAAGCGCTACCATGTAACCTATGGGAGAGACTACCATTGCTACGGGTGTTCCATTTGTACAATGGTCCTAGTGATGGGCGTTATGGGACAGTTACCAGTACAGAGAACCCAAATCTTTGCTTATGTTGTAAAAGGTGTGATTATCTTGTTATTAGTAAAATAACCACAACAGAATACGCAGTTTTCATATCCTTTACTTATATATATATATATATATATATATATATATATATATATATATATATATATATATATATATAATATAATAGGCTACAAGAAAAGATACTCAAATATTTGGTAAGTATAATATATTTTAATTTAAACATTCTCCAGACTGCGTCTCTAAATACATTTCTTGGAGATGTTAGAGATGAGACATAAGATGATAACATTGAGGATATCACTCAGGTGTTACTTTCACAAAATGGCTACCAAGCTGAATAAGAAGACATAGCATTCTAGCCTAGGAGTATCAACACGTTGAATAGCCTAGGAACATCAATATCAACGCTTTCACTTTCCTGAGAGCAAGCGTATCCGTGGAAGATGTCAAGAGAAGATACATCTTTACCTTGGAAGACAAGTGACTGAAGCTAAGGAATAACAACAGCTGAATTGTTTAGACAAATGGTTAGCTATCCTTGCATTATATCACGAGTTTGGGCACGTGGGAAGCTTCCCAGATGTGTGAGAAAAGGGCGAATGATGTGTTTAGAGCTCGAGTGACTTGAGAAGCGCTGTATATCTTTTGAACATTAAAAGATAGATCGCAGTTTTTGTCTTGCATGTAGTCCTGATGTTTAAAGGAATGGCAGGTTTTAGGGATAAATCAGAAGGTACTATGATAGTGTTATAAGATTCACCCTCGAGATAAGAATGTTATAAGTGAGGCCGGACATGAGCTGGAGTTTATTTTAATGTAAGTGACAATGGGGGGTAGAAATAGCCTAAGCTACTCTATCCCTTTGAGACGTATTTTTTTCTTGTCTCAATTAACATACTTCAATTTGAACTTGATAAGTGACAAAACCTGAGTTTGACTGAAAATGAATTTAACAACGTTTCGAGCTGGTCTTACCGTAGTAGGAATTAACAACTGGAGAGGATTGTACGATATTCAGTTTGAACCAGAGAACCCCATTACTGACTGAACAGGGAAAAATGCTAGGAGTGGATGCCAATAGATGTAGAATGAAGAGTTCTTACGGAGAAAACTTAAGTCGACTAAAACCAATAAAAAAAGAACCCCAGCCATCTACAATGGCTGCAATTGATCAAACACTCAGCTGGGAACAATGTATACATAGGGAGGGAGAAAAACTGAAGATTGACAGTTGAGATTTGTTCAGTACTTTGTTATAAGCTGTGAGAATATCCAGAGGTATGATTAACTAGACGTAAGAATGATAAGATACAAGATTACTAGTTTAAACCCATATCGGTGATCAGACAGATGGTTAGTTATTTGCACTACTTAATAAAATAAATTAATGGTAGATCCAAATAACTTGTAGATAGAGTTTGAGGCCAGTGAGGCAGGAGTTAGAAGGATTGGGTTCCATATACTTACGTTATGTACTTCTTAAAATTCCATCTTTACAATCTTTAATGAAATAACAGTGATACAATTATAGTTCTGATTATAATCCATCTGATTATTTGAGTTCAGGTAAAAATGTCACTTTTTGACTGTTAATAAACTGAATCCTACAGACAAAAATGTATGCAACTCCAAATATCTCAAATTTAAGCAAGATGAACAATCATTGCTCTTCGCTATCCTGTTTTGCTTTTTCATTCATTCACTGTGTTCCTGTGAGGTTTGTTATCCCGTCTTGTAGTGTTATGGGACTGTTCCTGTGAGGTTCGGGACTCCTGGTAGTTGGGCAGGACTGTTCCTGTGAGGTTGGGGACTCCTGGTAGTTGGGTGGGACTGTTCCTGTGAGGTTGGGACTCCTGGTAGTTGGGCAGGACTGTTCCTGTGAGGTTGGGGACTCCTGGTAGTTGGGCAGGACTGTTCCTGTGAGGTTGGGACTCCTGGTAGTTGGGTGGGACTGTTCCTGTGAGGTTGGGACTCCTGGTAGTTGGGTGGGACTGCTCCTGTGAGGTTGGGACTCCTGGTAGTTGGGTGGGACTGTTCCTGTGAGGTTGGGACTCCTGGTAGTTGGGTGGGACTGCTCCTGTGAGGTTGGGACTCCTGGTAGTTGGGTGGGACTGTTCCTGTGAGGTTGGGACTCCTGGTAGTTGGGTGGGACTGTTCTTGAGAGGTTGGGACTCCTGGTAGTTGGGTGGGACTGTTCTTGAGAGGTTGGGGACTCCTGGTAGTTGGGTGGGACTGTTCCTGTGAGGTTGAGGACTCCTCCTGGTGGCGACTTGGAGCCGTCCTCTTACAACTTGGTCTCTTCGCGACCTCGACTCGACATGGATTTCCTGAGTCTCCCACAAGCTCACCTTGGCTTTGGTATTGCCCACTCGCAATTTCTGCAGAACGATAATGAGATTTTAGACTGAAAGAAAGATTTGTAATTATTTTTAATCATTTGTATGATATTAAGAAATAATGATGCATTTATTGTTTACTGTAAACAGTTTAGAAACTGATGTGGTCCAGTTCTTGAATCAATTAGAATATAAAAGGCTATTGATATTTACATTAAATTATGTAATTAACTTATCGAGATTGTTACTTGCTTAGTTAAATGAATTTGGAGTTCAGTTCCTGAATTATGTGCCTCTGTATCCTTTTCCACTACCTCCCACAAGATGGGTATGGGGTCCACTACCGCCCACAGGATGGGTATGGGGTCCACTACCGCCCACAGGATGGGTATGGGATCCACTACCGCCCCACAGGATGGGTATGGGGTCCACTACCGCCCACAGGATGGGTATGGGGTCCACTACCGCCCACAGGATGGATTAGGATGCATCATAAATGAACTAAACTAAAACTTGCTAATGTTTTTTGTTTTGTCCCTTGTATCCCTCATGCCTAACGTCATCATGTTTACAACTATCTCCTCCCTCTTTTTCTCCTTCCATCCCTCACTCCCTCCATCCCCTCCTCCACTCGTATGTGATTTACTTCACCCATTCCCCCCCCCCCCTCCCCCTTCTCACCCATCACTAAATATTCTGAGCTCACCCCCCCCCCCACTCCCCACCCCGCTCACAGAGGACATGAGTGGTAAATAAAGAAGGCTATTTACGTACTAAGGGTCACCTGTTCAAGCCGCACACCTGTTGCCTAGGGCAGCGTGGAGGAGTGTGAGGGGGGGGGGGGTAGAGGTAGCAGTGAGTGAGGAGTGGTGATCGTTGGGCAGTGAAAGGAAGAGTGTGTATCACCACAAATACTTCTGCCATCACCACTATACTACCTACTACTACTACTACTATTGCCGTTAATAGCACTACTATCATCACAGCTACAACTACTCCTAACAGCACGACTACCCTCGCTACTGGACTGTCACAGCAGCAGCAGCAGGAAGGACTCACGACGGAGGGGTCTACGGTCATGGCGGCTTCGCGGGGCTTGGCACATTCCTCGCGGATGTCGTTGGCGCTCTTCGTCAGCTCCCGCACCAGCTGCCGTAACTCCTCTATGTCCCGCTGCAGGTCCTTGTTGTTCTCTTTCCACTCGTCTCTATGACAAGATCGAACGACATTTAAAAAAGTTGATAATTTTGATGCTCGTAATATGTAATTACGAGCAGCTCTACTTATTGGGGGAGCTTGGCAGTTATGGTTATGTTAGTCCTACGTCTGGCAGCTGCACTTGTGAACACTATTGTCGGTTAAGTGGACCGTTGTGAGACGGTCTTCGCAAAGATATTTTATTTGGAATATGAAAGATTATATAGGGCAGAACAACACACACTCATGTCACTCGGAAAAACACGGTAGCCTACAGAAGCTAGGGGTGGTTGTCATTCACTCGCGGCCAGCATGGTAGCCGGCTAGTAGAAGCAGTGTGGATGTCATTCACTCGCGGCCAGCATGGTAGCCGGCTAGTAGAAGCAGTGTGATTGTCATTCACTCGCGGCCAGCATAGTAGCCGGCTAGTAGAAGCAGTGTGATTGTCATTCACTCGCGGCCAGCATAGTAGCCGGCTAGTAGAAGCAGTGTGGTTGTCATTCACTCGCGGCCAGCATAGTAGCCGGCTAGTAGAAGCAGTGTGGTTGTCATTCACTCGCGGCCAGCATAGTAGCCGGCTAGTAGAAGCAGTGTGATTGTCATTCACTCGCGGCCAGCATGGTAGCCGGCTAGTAGAAGCAGTGTGATTATCATTCACTCGCGGCCAGCATGGTAGCCGGCTAGTAGAAGCAGTGTGGTTGTCATTCACTCGGCCAACGTTAGCGTACAAAACCCAATGTGGTTGTCATTCAAGGTAAGGTTTCACTCTAATATTTACCGTAATACAAACTTCAGGTATTCAAAGAGGTTAAATCTATCTCAAGTAGCTGGGTGATGGTCGGCAGAACCTGATTAGAACTTAATTAGTTGATTATATACTCTGGACCCGCTCTGATAGTGGGAAAGGTACTGGAACCCAATGTTCAATAGATCAATCAAAATATATTCATCGTGTACTATTTACAGATCAAGTTAATCTCTGATTTGTGTTCAAGCTACACGATTAGTGCTCTAATTACAATACTGTAGGTAACGTTACAGGGTCATGAACTAAGCAGGTTAAAGAGGTATTATGAGCTTACAGTCAGTATGTACGTAATATTTACAATAGGCAAACTTGGGTATACTAGGCTAGGATTTTAGGTAATATGTCATCCCGGATAAAATAAATGAACATTTTGTGAACGTGGTGGTAGTGAAACGTAATTGTATTTTGATAAATATATGTTACTATGAATTTACGTTGCTACAAAATAAAACAATTAATATATACGTGTGTGTGTGTGTCAGAGTCGGAGCCCAGTTTTTTAACCCTGAGTTATTACATTATTTTTTTATTTGCATATAATTTTGTGCATAAGTGTGCATGTATAAAGAAATGTTTTCGTGATTTAATGTTATAATGTATTTTTTATACTTAAAATGTTATAAAATGTTTATGAGGAGAAACATCTGCTGTAATTTGAAAAACAAGTAAGAGGTGAGTTTCCTAATTGATAAGAGTCTTCATAAACTTCTACAGCATTATCCATATCTGTAAGAGGGAGTGTCTGCCTGCCCACTGGATGGGGGGGGCGGTGTGTAGGATATACATATCAGTTGTGACACTAACTCTCCACATATGTCAGTTGCTTAATTTAGAAACTGTACTTGAGGTCGGTCTCGAGCCCATTGTTGACGTGACGATGTGCATTAAATTTTGTATCTCGTCAAGATTGTAACTTGCTTAACTAAATGAATTGTAGAGCTCAGTCCCTGAGCCCATTATGTGCCTCTGTAACCCTTTCCACTACCGCCCACAGGATGGGTATGGGGTTGCATAATAAATGAACTAAACTACTTTGTCTGTCTAAAGTTGGAGGCCAGAGGCTTGGAGGTAGCCTCGCCCAATTTTGCAGGAGGAATGGTTTGGGTACGGGACGGACATAGGCTGGTCGGGATCGGCCCTGTTGGTCTCATTAAGAGAGGGTTGGTCCAAATAATGATTCCCACTACGTAATCAGTGAAAGGTGGCCGGCTGAGTCCATAGAGTTCTTCACGAGAACGTAAATTTATTAGAGAGGAGAGAAGAAACGAGAAAGGGGAGGGGCGGGGGCGGGATGTTTGAAGAGAGGAAAGGAAAATAAGAGGGAGGAGAAGAGGAAAGGAGAGGAGGTGTGAGAAGTGGAAAGAGGGGAATGTAGGGAAGAGGGGAAGGGGGAAGTGGTGGAAAGAGGGAGGAGAGAAATCCAGGCGTAACAGGATACTCCTAATATACAAATATAATACAGTATATGTATGAAGAAATAAACGCTAACATAGCAAATCACTCAATTCTTGTATCATCCTCAATTTTCCTTCCGAAATATAGAGGAGCAAGGAAATGGCTAGACTGGAATCTCTGAGAACGATGAAGTCTGAATAGAAGAAAAATATGTTTATTGTTATGAATAATATGTAAATGACTGTACAGCAGTAATGGTTAAAATCACTGGAACATAGTACTAACATACATATACTACAGATAAATTATAATTATTATTATTATTAATTATTGCTGAATTAACTAGAATGATTGACAGGTGGGAGATTAGGCTCGCAGTGACAGGTAGAAAATTAGGCTTGCAGTGACAGATGAGAGATTAGCCTCGCATGACACGTGAGAGATTAGGTTCGCAGTGACAGGTGAAAGCTTAGGCTCGCAGTGACCGGTGAGAAATTAAGCTCGCAGTGACAGGCGAAAGATTAGGCTCATTGTGACAAGTGAGAGATTAGGCTTGCAGTGATTGGTTGGAGATTAGGCTCGCAGTGACTGGTTGGAGATTAGGCTCGCAGTGACAGGTGAGAGATTAGGCTCGGTTTGAATATCATTTACTGATGGGCGAGAACCGAGAAGAACTGAATGATACAAAAATGTTCTTAACGATATAATAAATGTAGAATCATGAAATAAAAAGGGACGAATCACTTGGGCTACTACAGTACTAATTTAATTCGTCTTTAAAACATGCTTAAAATTTATTTTACTCTATTGAGAATATTCTTACGCATCTGTAATGGAATATATATGAATAAATATTTGAATATTCATAATTGTAATTGAGTTCATGGACAAATATATGAGTCCCCATTCCAGCATAAGAGAGAATCCTATAATACATTTATATTTGTATATATTCCGTAAAAATTGGCAGACTTGGTCCATGGAAAAATATTTGGAAACGCAAGAAAACCTCCTAAACTATTATTGCAATACATTTTGCTCTGTTATAATCAAACCTCGGAGGTGTTGCCTTGGTGCATTCTCCATCCATCAAATATTTGCTGACTCTATAAACAGGTGAACTCCCTATCCAATCAAGCCTTCCTTGTCGGGTGGTCAGCCCATCCTCTTAAAAAAGGATAGTAATTAAAACCCTGGTTTGTGCCTCGGAGAGGCTACGGGATCCAGTAAGTTTAGAACTGCGGCTTCAACTCTTTTTAACCCTGTCGTAGCTCAGTCGATTAAGGCAGTGTCTGGGATGCTCCTGGACGCAGGTTTGAATTCTCGTCACGGCCCTTGTGGATTTGTTCATTTTACTTAAAGCAACTATTTGGTCAAACTTACCAATATATGTGCTGCTGGACCATAGCCCGTGCTACTTGCAATTTTTTTTGTTCCGAGTAAGCTGAAACAACAAGAGTACAGCTCACAATAGTCCTCGGGAGCGCTAGACGCGTGTGCATATTGGCATCTTGACACACTGTGACACGCCACATGGCTGAACACGCTGCCAAGCTCGCCCTCCATACCCCGCGACCTGCAGCTGGGACCCCATAGTTTCTCTATATGTGTGTCTGTCACTAGTCAGCGCTCAGCGACGTGGAACAAAATTAAGGTAATATATATAGGGGGAGAGGGGTTAGAAATAGCCTAAGCTACTCAATCTATTTGAGATGTATTCTTTCTTGTCTCAATAAACATACTTGAAGGTAATATAGTACCACTTTTTTGGGTTCCTTCGCTAATTATTATTATTATATGTTTTATTATTGTTACTTATTATTATTATTAGTATTATGGTCTGTGGATGCATGTCACATCTGGCAGACCATCTGACATATGATATGACTCACGGTGTAATAATAAATGGTTTCTTCTCAAATATAAATTAACATTAGCTGGATTTTGCATAGTTATGCCAGACGAAGTACAGAGTGAACGGCGCTTCTGGAGTCGGGATTGAACATGGCCAAGTACAGTTGGCTTATTCGTTCTCAATTCACAGTTGGGGGATCCCGGGTTCTATTCCCGATCGGGACAGAAGCGATTGGGCACGTTTAATTTCACCTAATGCGTGTGTTCACCTAGCAGTAAATAAGTACCCTGGAATTAGACAACTGTTGTGGCATTTGCAGCCTGCGAAGGTCAGTACTTCTACCCTAGGGTGGGGGGATGGGGGGGATCTCGATGCAATCCTAAAATAGTTCAAATTATATATATATATATATATATATATATATATATATATATATATATATATATATATATATATATAATATATATATATATATATATATATGTATATATATATATATATGTATATATGTCGTACCTAGTAGCCAGAACGCACTTCTCAGCCTAATATGCAAGGCCCGATTTGCCTAATAAGCCAAGTTTTTCTGAAATAATATATTTTCTCTAATTTTTTTTCTTATGAAATGATAAAGCTACCCATTTCATTATGTATGAGATCAATTTTTTTTTATTGGAGTTAAAATTAACGTAGATATATGACCGAACCTAACCAACCCTACCTAACCTAACCTATCTCTATAGGTTAGGTCAGGTTAGGTAGCCGAAAAAGTTAGGTTAGGTTAGGTTAGGTAGGTTAGGTCGTCGTAAAAACATTAATTCATGAAAACTTGGCCTATTAGGCAAATCGGGCCTTGCATAGTAGGCTGAGAAGTGCGTTCTGGCTACTAGGTACGACATATATATATATATATATATATATATATATATATATATATATATATATATATATATATATAATATATATATATATATAATATATATAATATATGTGTGTGTGTACAGCTTCCTGTCCCCGACAAAGGGAATTCAATAGAAAAACCAGATGGATTACAGTTAATATTTTGAAAGGTAAATAATAATTTGTCAGTACATTTTTAAAAAGCCGTGAACTCGACGGACCATTGTTCTGAAAGTAGACTGTGCTCTGACGTCTTATATTGTAGCAATGTATATGCATGATCGCGCATGCGCGGGTATGCACAATCAAGAGCCCTTGGGAGGCGGCCAATTGCGCTCAAGTAAACGCCCTCAAGCTGCATTCTAATTGGGTTACCTGCTGGTTATAAGGTTTATTCGCTGGATCTACGAGCATGGGAATTATACACAAAGAGGTGTAGTCCGCTTCTCGGTGTATATACAGTGAGAGCTTACTTTAGGCTTGGGCAATGTTCAGGATTAAAACACATATACTTGCTGGCTGGTCTTAGACTATTGTGGTGGCCTCAATAACCCTCTGGCAGTTGATACGCCTTAAGTTCAGCACCAAGCTAAGCCCTACGAGCTTCAGGCATCGTTATTAATACACCTTCTGAATGTGTACTACTTCTTAGCTGAAAGTAATGAAGGAAAGGAAACAGTGTTGTGGTGGCTAAATATTATTTTGATCCAAGTGAGTGCTTTCGTCATTGGTAAACATGCTCTGAAAATCAGGGAACACGAATAATGTTCTGAACAGTTGGATACAAGATGGTATATACGGTACTATGACCACGGTATCATTAATCGGCTGGACGATCAATGGTGAGGTGTTATAGTACGTGCACGTTAAGGGATGATCCTAGGCGTCTCGGGCTCGAATCCTGGTCAAGAGTCATTTAGAGTTCTTAGTGATCTATGGCTTGCGCGTTCTTGCAGCTTTTCTCATATGTATATATATATTATATATATATAATATATAATGAAATATAATATAATATAATATAATTTTATTCACTTGAGCACTGGGAGCCTCGACCCTCCGACCCCCAAAGTGGGAGACGGGAGTCTATCAACCACGCTATGAACAGCCACAATAAGGAAGGACTCCAGAAGCAACCATGCTGCTGCTGCTGCTGCGACTGGAACATTAAGCCTTCTCTGGGCTGTCACTTAAGCATGGAACAAATGATTGATGTAATGTAAATATTATTGTTGCAAAAAAAATTGTAGTTCCAGTTGGACAGCAGTTAATTACTTCTGAAATATTAGCAGGTTTTCCATTAGAAATGTTTCATTGAATATGACCATATTCTGCGTTGATTTTTTTTCTTGTTCAGGGCTTCAATCTCCTTTGATAAACTCTTTTATCCATTTGTATATACCAATCATGTCACTCTTGACTGAAACTATATAGGCTTTACTACAAAAAGTCAAACCGATGTAAGAATTTTCTAGGAATTCCAAGAACATGGCAGTAGACACGTACACCTCTTCCGTGGGATATCAGGGGGTCAAAACCTACCCCACAACTCTTACCCGAAATAGCTAGTCTCGCCCACATGAGCGGCCGAGGCTGCGACGACGCCCAACCTCTGCCAACACCTTGAACAGTCTCCCCTCATTAATCAAAGAAAATGGACTTGGTCTATGCCTAATATTGGTTGTTTTCGTTTAGGTAAACATTAAGCACTAAATTTCTAAAAATAAATTCGTATTATTCATTAAACTTAATATGGTAAAATACGGTACCACATCAGAGACTAGTGCGAAAGCTGGAGATGCAGGCAGGAGTGAAAGAGAAGGTACTACATTGGATAAGGGAGTATCTAAGTAACAGAAGACAGCGTGTCACTGTGAGGGGTGAGGTCTCAGACTGGCGAGACGTCACCAGTGGAGTCCCACAGGGGTCAGTCCTTGGACCCATACTGTTTCTGATATATGTAAATGATCTACCAGAGGGTACAGAATCATTTCTCTCATTGTTTGCTGATGATGCAAAAATTATGAGGATTAAGACGGAGGAAGATAGTATGAGGCTACAAGATGACCTAGACAGACTGAATGAATGGTCCAACAAATGACTACTAAATTTCAACCCGAGTAAATGTAAGGTAATGAAACTAGGCAGTGGAAACATGAGGCCAGACACAGGATACAGAATGGGAGACAAAGTCCTTCATGAAACGAACAGAGAGAAAGATCTAGGAGTTGATATCACACCAAACCTGTCTCCTGAAGCCCACATCAAGAGAATAACATCTGCAGCCTATGCGAGGCTGGCTAACATCAGAACTGCCTTCAAGAACCTGTGTAAGGAATCATTCAGAACCTTGTATACCACATATGTAAGACCAATACTGGAGTATGCGGCCTCAGCATGGAGCCCATACCTTGTCAAGCACAAGGCGAAGCTGGAAAAAGTTCAGAGGTATGCCACTAGGTTAGTCCCTGAACTAAGAGCAGGAGTTACGAGGAAAGGCTGCGTGAAATGCACCTCGTGACACTGGAAGACAGAAGAGTAAGGGGAGACATGATCACTACCTACAAAATTCTCATAGGAATTGACAAGGTAGAGGCATAAAGATATAAAGCTTTGTTTAACACCTAGGGTACGACGTACGCGAACAAGTTTTAACAAGGGGTACAACGTTCTAATACAGGTGGAAACTGAGTACCGAGCAAACACAGGTGAGAGTACAAAATGAGTCATAGGGACGTTAGAAAGAACTTTTTTCAGTGTCAGAGTAGTTAACAGGTGGAATGCATTAGGCAGTGATGTAGTGAAGGCAGACTCCATACACAGTTTCAAATGTAGATATGATAGAGCCCAGTAGACTCAGGAATCTGTACACCAGTTGATTGACAGTTGAGAGACGGGACCGAAGAGCCAGAGCTCAACTCCCGCAACCACAAATAGGTGAGTACAATTAGGTGAGGTGAGGACAATATATACATTAATATCCAGTACTGGACAAAGGCTTTTATAATTTTACATCCTCCGTGGCGCAGTGGTAAAACACTCGCCCGGCACTTCATGAGCTATTTGGCCTGGGTTCGTATCGTGGCCGGGGAGGATTAACTAGGCGCCAATCCTTAACTGTACACCTCTATTCACCCAGCAGTGAATGGGTACCTGGTTATTAAACGATTTGGCTGATTGTAACCCATGGAAAATTATGATTAAGGACCTGCCCGAAACGCTATGCGTACTAGTGGCTTAACAAGAATGTAAGAACTCTTGTACATATAAAGAAAATAAATAAATGTTGTCCCGTTGTAAAATAGTGATTTTAGAATTGCTTGTAAATTACGTGTGGACCGGTTTAGCAAGTAGATAGAGTTGAATAATCAATCTGTTCCAATTCATGACGCCTAAATCCCATCAAAATAATAATTTTCCATAGTTTTTTTTTTCAAAACATAATAAACAATCGGTATTGTCTTGTTCGATAATTGCCATATGCAGCGTCTTCATTTCAATTCAATTTAAGTATGTTTATTGAGACAAGAAAAAAATACATCTCAAAGGGATAGAGTAGCTTAGGCTATTTCTACCCCCCCTTTGCAGCCTCTTTAATTCTCTTCTCGCTGTGTTTCTTATTGTTTATTAAACAAAGACATCCTAGACGTTAATTATAAATGGCAAGATAAATATATATTTAATTTGTTGTCTATAAATCTCAGTTTTGAGAAAAGAGAAAATCGCAATTGTATATACACGCAAGATAGCGGTGGATTTCTTGTGGTAAGTTGGTCAACTCTGTACAGATATGTTACTTAATAATTAAAGGCTTTTAGATCAACTGTTTCTTCTCCCAGCAACACGTATTCGCTGTGCTATCTACAGATTGTGTAATGATCCATATTACTCTCATTTTCGACTACACCTCCATGTAACTACTCCACCACAACTGCCTCCACAACCAGCCCTCTACTACCGCGCCTCCACAACCACCCCTTCCACCACCACCTCTCCACAACCACGCCTCTCCACAACCACGCCTCCACTACCACCTCTCCACAACCGCCCCTTCTTTAGAGATTAAGAAACTCTACATACCGAACCCAATTAAAGTATTTCGCAGTGCATCTCCAACCACAGGCTAAGCTGCTTTTTTGGCAGACACTGTGGAGAACAGACAGGGGACACTGGTGGACAGACAGGGACACTGATAGGGAGCCAATGGATGCTGTGGTGGACAGACATAGGGACACTGGTGGAGGGACATGAAGCGAGACACAGACAGGGGACATTGTTGAAAGAATGGGGGCCAAGAACAGGAGCTCAACCCATTGAGGCCCATCTGTGTACATACATACAAACGGTACTCACATTTCCCGGTCAGCTTCGGCGAACATAGTGGTAACTGAGGCAAACAAGTCATTCACCTTGTAACTCATGTTGCTTTTCGTGGCTGGAGTGTTTGAGAAATGATACAGTTGATGTTACAACTGATTTGGTGATCGTAGCCGTTTTCTTTGGTATCTCTTCTGCTTTCTTTATTCCAGTGAATTTTAGGGTACTCTTTTATTTTCGTTGCACTATGTTATTCTTAATGGTACTACTGTAGCTGGTGTTGACATAGTTGTTGCTGCTGCTGTTAAGACTATTGTTATTGAAACTTTCCTTCTTCCGTTGTCGAAATTATTGCTGCTGCTGCTGCTGCTGCTACAAAGCCATTGTTGACATTATTGATGCTGCAACTTTAGTTTGTACTGCTGATGTATCTGATATTGGCACTGTTAACCGTTCAAGTACTGTTGGTGTTCGTACGGGTGAGGGATGCTGGAGATGCCTCAAGCCTGGTGATGGATGCTGGAGATGCCTCAAGCCTGGTGATGGATGCTGGAGATGCCTCAAGCCTGGTGATGGATGCTGGGAGAAAATTGCATTAAAAACTGATCTTTGATAAGACCCCGAAGAGCTGAAGCACGGTAATACAAACTCCCTATTAGTTAACTGTCCTACACATAGACTCACAAACTAACCCACAAGGTGACCAACTCACTGTGAGTTGTGTGGGGACACTTACATATCACACTTACTCGCACACACTTGTTCATTTGATGCATCACGCTATTGTGATTTCTGTGTGTAGTGTAGTGTGGTGTAGTGTCACTGACCTACGTAGACTCACACTCAACTTCATGAGGGATCACATTAACCTACACATCCCCCCCCCCTACACACACACTAACCATCACACTTACTCGCACAGACCCACACCCCGACACTGACCACACTCACAGGAATAAGCAGCACTGGGGTGGAACACTGCAGCATACAATCAATTCATCTCCCACATTATTTTATCATTACTAGCTCTAAATAGCTTGTAATCAAATTGTAACGTGCTTGCATCTGAAGCCAGGTATACATATATGTTGCACACACAATAAAGTAGTCGGAGTCAAATTGTTGAGCATCATTCCATTCCCCTGGGCTGTAGGAGATTCGAACCCTGGACCCAACTCTCGTGAGATGCCCAGGATCTCACTCTTGTTGAGGACCACCTCACACACTGGGCTGCACAAACTTGAAAAGCTAATGCCCTTGTTCTTTGTATTGGTAATGCCCTTTCTTTAGGCGACCATTAATATGACAAAAAAATAGTTACTCTTATCACGTTCGGCACGCGTGCCATTGTCCGAAACGCTATGCGTGCTAGTGGCTTCACAAGAATGTAAAATCATCATCATTACTATGTACTCTCTTAACCTTCAATGTATCTTCTTGTATATAAATAAATAAATAAATAAATAAATAAATAAATAAATAAATAAGAATAAACAAATAAATAAATTCGATCCCCATCGCTGGCTTAGGCTATATATCGGATAGATTGCGTAGAGGCCGGCTCAAGAATTATCATTCACTTCCCCTAAGCACTATTTGGCCAGTACTGACCCCCCACACACTGACCTCACACCCCAATCAACACACATTTGTGATCACACACTAACCAACACCCTAACATCACACTAATACCCCATGATTCCACATCCAAAGACTTAATCTCAAACTGAGCCTCAGACTAGAAGGTTGAATGTGGGTCACAGTAACTCATACTGACCTGCGAGAGAGACGAGAAGACAACCTTGCTCTACCCTTCTCCCAGACACACTGAGCAGCCATAACACATGACGCAGTCCCTCAGGCATTGTTGTTATGGCGTGAGGGGAGGCAGGGCGGAGGGGCCGGGAGCTGAGAATTTGAAGGGAGGAGCGAGCTACCAAAGAGAGAGAGAGAGAGAGAGAGAGCGTACCTGTTTAAGCTTAGTTCATTTATTATGCACCCTTTACCCATCCCGTGGGCGGTAGTGGAAAAAGGTTACAGGTTCACATTATGGGCTCAGGAATTGAACTCTAAAATTACTTTAGCTAAGCAAGTTACAGACTTCATAAAGCTAGTTACACATTTTGATGTATATATATCAACAATGGGTTCAAGAACGACCACAAAGACAGTAACTAAGCTAAGAAATACATTTGCGGTGAGCTAGATTCAGAATTGTATTTGCTTATTATGCACACTGTCACCTCCCACCTCCGCCCCACGCCCACCCAGTGGGAAGTTTATTTATTATTATTATTATTATCTACCACAAACGTGGTCACACATTTACAATGCTAACCAGCATATATACATTTTCTTCTGTCCTCCACGAACAGGGTTAGAGATCTGTTAAACATATAATCCAGTGATTTGTTGAACAATCAACCACAGAAGGAGATTGTAGTACTTTTAAAATACTAAGCTAACCTACCTACAAACATAAATACACAGATTGATGTCTGTCTTACATTAACAGTGTTCGAGGTGTCTTTTTTACACAGTCATTAATGTGCATTTACAAAGGTGAAATGCAGTTCTGACCAGCTGGGACCATTGACCTTTGACTTTCTGAACAATTCTGACCAGCTGACCATTCTTTACCAGTGGGAAGTAAAAGAAAAGTTAGTCAATCGCATTTACCACCTAGTGAACAAACTGGGGGATAGTTGGCTAAAATTCCTGACAGTAGATCATTTTGCATGAAATGTTTACACATTTCTTGAAAAAAATTTCAGTCGAGCTATCTCCAAATTAATATATCTTCTCGCATTCCTCCACATAGTGTGTGGCTCCTGGGTAAGGAACACTACCCAAAAGCAGGCGATGAGTCACAATAACGTGGCTGAAGTATGTTGACCAGATCACACACACTAGAAGGTGAAGAGACGACGACGTTTCGGTCCGTCCTGGACCATTCTCAAGTCGATTGAAAACCTGAGAGCCACAATCGACTTGAGAATGGTCCAGGACGGACCGAAACGTCGTCGTCCCTTCACCTTCGAGTGTGTGATCTGGTCAACTCTACCAAAAAAAATCAGGAGAAGGAAGAAAGAGAGAGCAAAATACAAGAGAATAGAAAGAACTATACCAGGGCCAGATATTTACCTGTATGTACCTGAGGGCCACTGAACCTAGTGGCCACGACGAGGACAGGAAGCCGGCGGCTTGTCCAAGTAATTAATAAATTATAATATTTATAATATAATAAAATATATTGATAAACATCAACGGAGAATCAGAAAGAATAATTAAAATTGACATAACATTCATGCTGATAAACCAAAAATTGCTCCACCTATAGGCGCTTTCACCTGATAATTCCACAGTTATATAAGAAGGAAAATATGTGAATGGCCAAGATACTAAGTAAACGGGAGGGTACAGTATACACATATACCATACAGTATATAATTCATTGTGTCGAGGGGACAGGAAGCCGGCGTGTATTCATACACGTTTTGGCTTTTATCGTGATCATTCCATGAGGTGATTTCAATATTGACCTGGGTCTACAAAATAACCCTCAAGTTGACTATTTCCGTAACAGCATGAACTCCTGCATGCTAATCCCCATAATCACCAAGCCCACCCGAGTCACTCAAACATCTGCCACTACCTAGGATCATTTATGGACTAATATAACAGCTCCCCTTACATCTGGTATAATCTATGACAGAACAACTGATCACTATCCTACGTTCCTCGTAGCAAACATGGACATAACACCACCAGAAAGCAAGAAACTCTCCTTCAGGCTACACAGTGAATCAGCTTTAGGCAATCTCTCAAATGCACTTCACAATATTAACTGGGAATCTGTATTCAATAATACACAGGATATAAACTCATTAACTAACCTCTTTCTCTCCAAAACTCTAAGGCTCTACAACACTCCCTCCTTACCAAACAAGTAACTGACAAAAGAATAAACAATCCGTGGCTCACAAATGGCATATTCAAATCAATCAACAAAAAACATGAATATCAAAAGAAATTTTGGATTGGCCTAGTTACAAAGGAGGTAGTTAAAAGGTACTCATCAGTGCTTACTAGTATCATGAGAATAGCTAAACTTTCATATTATGAGACCAGATTCAGAGAAGCAAAAGACAACATGAAAAGCACATGTTTTAGTTTAGCACATTGGTGTGGATATGAGACAGAAGATTTCGATCAGGATCAATATCAGTATGCATGTAGATGCAATGGGGTCACGATACAATAAGACAAACAATTACAGGAACAGTTAAATACTAAATCTGCTGTAAATAGAAAGTAATTATAGCAAAAGTTATATAGTAATTATTCGCAGTCTCCGTGGTGTAGTGGTAAGACTCGCCTGGCGTTCCGCGAGCGCTAAGTCATGGGTTCGTATCCTGGCCGGGGAGGATTTACTAGGCGCAATTCCTTAACTGTAGCCTCTGTTTAACACAACAGTAAAATATGTACTTGGATGAAAAAACGATTCTTCGCGGCAGGGGATCGTATTCCAGGGACCATAGGATTAAGGACTTGCCCGAAACGCTACGCGTACTAGTGGCTGTACAAGAATGTAACAACTCTTGTATATATCTCAAAAAAAAAAAAAAAAAAAAAAAAACAATAAATATAAGTACACAAAACATAGAAACAATTAGAAGTAGAGTGAAGATCACCGTAGATGGCCAGGAAGGATACAGAAGTTAGGTTAAGAGAGAAGACACAAAAATCAGTAGAATGACAAGATTAATATATATAGCAAAAATAATAAGACAAATAATAATCGTAGAGTAAAATAATCTTAAAGATAAATTATTTTATATAGCTTAGTTGTGAACCTATAATTAGTATGAACTTAAGAAAACTAAATGAGTTCAATAATTAATTACATTAAGTGATGTATAAATCAAATTACAATTTAATTTAAAATTTAAAAAATAACAGGGTAAGATTATATTAATGAGTAATGATACAGTGTATCATGTACAGTATATACAGAGTATCATGTATACAGCGTATCAAGTAAAGAGGTATACCGCATATCAGGTAAAGAGGTATACAGCGTATCAGGTAAACTCAGACATCAGGTAAACAGGTAATTCAATTTCTTTCTTTATTATTTTTTTTTTTAATATATATACAAAAGTTGTTACATTCTTGTACAGCCACTAGTACGCGTAGCGTTTCGGGCAAGTCCTTAATCCTATGGTCCCTGGAATACGATCCCCTGCCGCGAAGAATCGTTTTTTTCATCCAAGTACACATTTTACTGTTGCGTTAAACAGAGGCTACAGTTAAGGAATTGCGCCCAGTAAATCCTCCCCGGCCAGGATACGAACCCATGACATAGCCCCATGACATTATGCACCCCATACCCACCCGTGGGCGGTGGTGTAAAGGATTACCAGAGGCACATAATCGGTTCAGGAACTGAACTCCCTCTAGTTCGTTTAGCTAAGCAAATAACAATTTTTGACGCTAGTTACAAAATGATTAATGTTAAACAGGTAAACCTGTTCAAAGTTGGCGGGGCGCGGGGGTGGTGCGGCCGCGGGTGTAAACAATAGCCAGCTGACGGCCAGTTGATCAAGTTTATTGGGAATTTTGAGGCCAGAAGCGCACCAGCTGCCAGCTACAGGCACCTGTATCACCCCCACACACCCGCTCACCGCCCACTCGGCTTAACAATGTAAGTATTTCAGCAGATAGAAGGTTGTTATTGATGCGAGTATTCAATTATGGTGATTGGTGGTAACTGGTCTGGGAGAGTGAAGGAGCTCTCTCAGTGATGAGGGGGTAGTGTGTGCATGTGATGGGGGGTAAGATAACGCTATAGTTCATACACGGCTGTCATTGTGGTGATGATGTGAGGAAAGTGATGCTGATGAGTGGTTGCATGAGGCCAGGACCCCCAGGCACAAGTGGGTGCAGCTCACACTTGAACACTAGTGGGCTACACGCTGCTACTGCGGCGTCTCATAAATCAGGTACTATATCTTGTATGTACTGATCGTAGGTTATAATACTAATAATAATTTATTTGCAGGAAGGTATAATGGGGGTTGGTGAGATTAGAAAAGATTGGTATTTTTGCATTCATTGCAAAGCCACTAACACGCTCAGCGTTTCGGGGAGGTCCTTAATCTAACTTATCAAGATAAAAAAGGTACATTGTAGCAAGGTTTTGTAACAAATAACTACAATATAAGTTGACAGAGGTGATTAGATAAACACATACACACACATTTGCTCTCTCATCATTAAAAAGCGCAGAATTAAAAGTACGATTTAAGCCTTGGTCTTGGGAATTAATTCACAGCAATACCCTGGCGCGTTGTTATACCATATTAATGCATGATCAAGCTTAGTAGAAGGGTATGATTAAATTGTAAACAGACATTTTGCTTGTAACTCATTTTCGAAATTATGTGTAACTATATCTTTAGATTATGTCAGTTTTAAATAGGTTACTTTGTACACAACCAAAGTTACTTTACAAATGGATTTTAAAGCCCAACCTAACAGCCTAATCTAACTTCAGCAAGTCTAACCCAACTCAACCCAACTAAACTTAAATTAGCATATCCCAAACCTGCCTAATCTTATGCTTTTTCATGCATTAACTAGATTTAGTTAATAATTTTTTACATCTAACCTAAGTAATATAATTTGAGAATGTGTCAAGCATATTATATACGGGGCACTCTGTACAGCTGTTGTTTCACATACATATTTTAAATAATGATAATAATTAATTTTGTTGGAGAAGAGGCAGCCAGTGTATATGAACTGTATACATCTTAGGCTTACATTGAGGTCCCACCAAGGTGGAACTACTGATGACCCCCCCCCCCCCCCCCCCTTCCTGCAGGATGCAACCCCACAACAAGCTGACTATCTCCTGGGTACCTATTTACTGGCACCCAGTAACAGTAAATAGGTACTGGTTGTTGATGTAGAGTAGAGGATGTCCCTTCCTCATTTATTAAGAAAATGTGTGCAGCGTGAGAAGAATTGCAAAATTTTGCTGAAAAGTTGTCACCCAAATCAAGCTGTAGCAGGCCTTTGTGTTAACCTTTTTAATGACAATATGATGTCTCACTTGAGACAAATGTTAAAATGTAGGGAAAAACAAGTGTCGCTAGTTAGTTTAGTTAATTTATTATGCTCCCCATACCCATCTTGTAGGTGGTAGTGGAAAGGGTTACAGAGGCACATAATGGGCTCAGGGACTGAGCTCCACAATTCATTTAGCTAAGCAAGTTACAATCTTGATGAGCTAGTTACAAAATTCACTATAAGTCGTCACATCAACAATGGGTTCGAGATTGACCACAAGTACAGTTTCTAAATTAAGCAACTGACATATGTGGAGAGCTAGTGTTACAATTGATATGTTTGTCCTGCACACTGCACCCCATCCAGTGGGCAGCAGTGGATAGGTTACAATCACTTAGTTACTACCTACAGTTAGCAAACTGGGGATATTTGGCTAAAATTTCTGGTAGCAGATCAATTTGAATGAAATATTTACATATCGTTGCAGCATTGGTTATAGAATTGTCTCTAAATTCACGTATCTTTTCGCACTCCATCACATAGTGACGGAGGGTGTGCGAATAATTTTGTTAACACAGTTTACATTTGGTCAGCTGCCGCTAGACAGGTTTTTAGTGAGAAAAACAAGCAGGGAACCACAAGCAGGTCCTAGTGATATGCAGGCAAAACATAGGAGAGAGAGAGTACCCCAGAAAAGTCATCACTGCTTGAGGTTATAATGGAAGGGGACTTCCCCCTTCCAAACACTAACACCTCTTCTCCTCCCACTCCTCATCAACTTTCATATGCCAGCAAGAGTCCTCATTCAAGGTAAGATATACAAATTGTATTGTAGCTAGTATAAAATGAGTGTTATTCGGTATAAAAGGTATTTTTAAGTTAATATTTTTGGTTGTGTGGAACGGATTAATTCAATTTACATTATTTAATATATATATTACTAAGTATTTTCAGTATATAGCACCCACTTTTTCACATCTGAATTGAGTTTATTATCATCAGCTCTTTGCAGTAAACTGTCCCAAAAAACATACTTATTACTGGGAATGTTCTGTTATTAATAAAAAGAAATGTTTGATATCCATTGTTTTTTTCATGCAGGAGTTGAAATACAGCCCACCATCTTTACAATTACTGACAAGAGTGCCATGTTTGCTCGCCTTTCAAACATGTTTGGTGCAAATGATGATGATGATCAAGGTCATGGTTCTCCTTCTCGAAAATCCAACTCCAGGAATGGTAGCCAGGGTAGTGGAACACCAGTGCATACCCCTAATGCAGCTCAGTGCCAGGCAAGTTTATTCTTTTGATAACAAAATTTTATCCCTTTAAGTGTGGGTGCACAAAAATCATTGCCATTCCCTGGGTCTGAGGTTTTAAAACCTAAAAAAAAAAAAAATTAGATTTGCAGAAAATAAAATTTGAGAAAGGAAAAACAAAAAAAGGGGGGGGTTATGATAAGATGGTCAAGATTTGTATTTTGAAGATGTTTACAGTATTGTTTGTATTGAAAGATGTGCTTGACATAGGGGCAGATTCTTCCCTCAGTTGACTGCCATAGAATAATATACAATTTGTATTACAATACAGTACATACTTAACCTTTTAAAACAGAATTGATGAATAACTTGCCAAGTGGACCAAGCATTTTGCGTTATATTACACAAAATGCATATTAGTTGCTATATGTAGTACAGAGGTCTACTTTAGCAATTCTCAACTTTTTAACCCTTGTGGAATATTTATTTATTTTATTAGTTTAAAAAATACAGTACAGTACATTTAAATTAATCACAACAAATCAACCACATCTGTAAAAACACGCAATAAATAAGGGAAATGTTCTCAGGGAACTCGGTTGAGAAATGCTGGTCTACATCCACAACTCTCAATCGAGGGACTGGTTTTTATATCCCAGCAGGACAGAAATGCTTGGGCAAATTTTCTTTCACCTGATGCCCCCCAGTTCACCAAGCAGTAAAATAGGTACCCCAGGAGTTAGCCAACGGTTGTGGGTTGCATCACGGGGATGGTCAATATAAGAGGACATTGATAACTAAGTTCAGGCTTCCTGTCGCCGATGACAGGAATGAAATCATGAATGTTCACTGGACTTGTTTTCTTTCAAACCATTTCTTAGGGTCATATTGGTCCATGGAGCAAACAGCAATTGCCTTCTTAATCATCATAATAGTCCTGTAATTATACATGTACTGTATTATGGTTATGGTATTCACTGTAAACTTCTTGATGTACTATTTCAGTTGAGATCGGTAATGGATTTCAGTCGAGTTGAAAATTCTGCAAAAGTTATGCTTGTGTTTTGACATTTTATTTTCTATGCTGACTATGTTGGTAGTAACAGTCTCGACACAATTTTGGCTTAGATTGACAACTCGGGAAGTGTTTTAGAAAAAATAGCTGGTCTATATGCTGAACGACTAATGAGTGACATCGTGCTGGTTGTAGGACAGCGCGAGTTTCCTGCCCATCGGCTTATTCTCTGTGCTTCATCCGATGTCTTCCAGGTGTGTGTGACTTTTATTTTTTATTTTAGTAATCTTGCATATACTTATCGATATATTAATGTGTCTAAAAGATGCAGTATTGTTATAGTATTTTTCTTTAATTTATATAAGTAAACATTGCTTTTAAACATTTTTACAGTATAATTTATATTCAATACTAGCATATAAAAAATTTCGTTTGTAGTCATGTTTGGCCCCTATAGGCCATTGCTCCCTTTGCCTCTCTAGAGGGAGCCAGGTTCTGGCTCGTGGTCCCTGGTAGGCCCATAAGAACAACATACACATGACTGATGCCAAAGTCTGACATTAGGATATCAGCCTAGTAAGCTAGTAAGCTCCGGGGGAGCCTCCGGGACTCGCCCAGAAAATGGCGTTTCATTACATTCAACGCTGTTTTTTTTGTTGTGTATAATTGGGTGCGTGTGTTTTTATAGGTGATGCTGATGAACCCACGATGGAATGAAAGTCGAGAGCAGAGAATAATATTACAAGAGGCTTCTGAGTGTGTTGTTGTTTTTGATCTTTTCTTAAGATACCTCTACACGGGACGGCTGAAGGTCTCGCATGCTACTGTCCTTCCAATACTGGCTTTAGCAGATAAATATAATGTCAAGGTAAGCAACTGAAATAACAAAAAAAAAAGGTTTGTAACGCATAAATGATCCTGTGGAATCCAGTGTGTGTTAATAAATAGAGTACTCACTTTGTAATCATGAGGGATGGGCTTTGACTGTTGGGTTCCACCTCTCAAGACTGGTGTTTAGGTCATACCTACATTTGAAGCTGTGTATAAAGTATATCTATGTTACTTCACTTTATGGTGCATTCAGTTTGTACACAATTTTGATATCAAATTCGGTTTTCTAATGTCTATGTCCATTTGACAATTGTTGTGGGTTGCTTCCTGGGAAACCCCTTGGTAAAAAACCCAGGTTCTTTCTTAAAATCCATTCTGCCTGGGTTGGATTTTTATCCATTAAATCAATAAATAAAAATAATGACATTTAAATTTAAATAGAAATAAATAAGTTTGCCCAAATTAAATAAAACAAAATTTAAACCCACCTTGAGTTTTTTAACTAAAAACCCAGCCTGGATAGGTAAATGGGTAGCTACAGTACCATGCCAAAGCTGCCTAGGGGGGAACTCGATTAGCCTAAGTGTAGGCTTACTGTGCCAGACAATGGGAGTTATTACTATACCTACGAAATGTTATTCTTTAATTCGCTTGTTCTCTTGCAAGGCAACAATTTGTTTATCGAAAACTTTCAAAACATATTTCAGAGTTCTGTAGCTATTGTGAATGATGCTGAGTAAAACTCGTATCTACAAAATTGTGACTGAATCGTATATCCGCAGGATCTGATAGATACATGTGTCAAATATATGAAGCTGCATGTTGTATCAGCATCACAACAAAATTATCTGATCGCTTGGCTTCAGTACACACTTACCTGTGGCCATTCTGATATTGCAACAGTGTGTTTAAATCATCTAAAATGGAATTTGGAGCAGGTGGCTGCACTTGAAGATTTTGCATCGTGCGACTTGGACCTTCTTACTACAATTTTAGCACAGCACGATGTGGTAGTTCATGATGAGATGACACTGTACAAGTAAGTGTTACAAATTCAAATGACCTTCAATAATGCAAATAAAAGTTACAGTTGTAGATTGGATGGATTAAGTCTGCTATGACAGTGCTGCCATCAAAGCACTAAGACATCTACTGGTGCTTCCACTTATGGTATTTTTCTGTGGTTATGTTTATTTCTGGGGGAAATCCTGTCGGCTCCTCGGAGCTATCCAGGCTGATATAGATATATTAGATTTCTGGCATCAATGTGTATGGAGTTCTAGGCTTACTGGGGGCCACAAGCCAGAACCTGGCCCACCTCAGAGAGGCACGAGGAGCAATGGCCTATAGAAACCCCTGTGTGGTTGGAAGCATTCTATGTCTGCCAGGTCAGGCACCCAGAAAGGTAAGCACCCCAAAACAAACCCCTATTCTGGTGAAAACATTGCTACAAAGAGCCGAACGAGTAGACAGAACTCTCTAAATGAAAACAAGCAAACTAGCATGACGTCACTACGTTGCCACACCTCTGTCTGCACAACCACCCCCTTCCTGGGAGGGGAAAGGGGAGCCCCAGGCCTTCTCGCTGGCTACCCACCCTTCAGTTCTTGGCTGTTATGATACTGGCAAGGTCGTGTGTGAGTTCTGTCCACTCATTCGGCTTTCAGTAGCAATAGTTTCACCAAAATTAAGGTTTGTTTTGGGATGCCTACCTTTTAGGGTGTCAGACCAAGTCGATGGCAGACATAGAATGCTTCCAACCACAGGGAGGGTTTCAATAGGCCATTGCTCCTCGCACCTCTCTGAGGGGGGCCAGGTTCTGGCTCATGGTCCCCAGTAGGCAAGAACTCTATGCACATTGACTGATGCCAGAAAGTTATAAATATCCATTCAGCCTGGATAGCTCCAGGGAGCCTTTGGGTCTCACCCAGAAAATGGCATTTCATTACATTCAACGCTGGTTTTTTCTTAGCTTACTTAATTTAATTAATTACTTAATAATTAATTACTTACTGAGCTTTAATAATTCAAAACATGATTTATTTTTTGGACCAACAGTTTTTTTTTTTTACATTCCAGCAATAGTTGCCATAAGTACTATTATTTTTTCGATGGCAGACTGTTGTGGCATACAGTCAGCCACATACTATCAGAACCGCTCGGGACTGAGACTGAATGGATAACATGTTGTGTTCGGATAAGTGGTTAGTCATCCTGAAAAGCTAGGGGGAAAATTTGACAATTTTGTTGCAGAAATTTAAGTATTTTATTTGAACTCGCCAATATATGCTCTGATCTGCTTGTTAACAATGCTCCATCAGCTATAATCTTTAAGTTATTTAGAAAAGGTAATGGTGGATGATGATAGTGTTGGGTTGACTGAAGTGGAGATTAAAGGTGATGAGGTAAACTTAGCAGACTTCCTTTTATCATGTACTCTAATGTACCTAATGCCATGACAGACTTTAATGCTTCTGAGCCATTCATTAGTGTTTGAATACTGCTCAAGTGGTGCTGTGTACAGTCACTGGGCAAACTAGTTCCATCTTTATTGCACATTTTTACTCACACTACTTGCCCCACCCATTATCCGAACAAACCCCAATCGGATAACAGGCATTTTCAGATAACGGGCGTTCGTAAAGCATGTGGCTGATTGTATTACTTTTTCCTCCTTAAGTCAACAACCCTATTTCCAAACCATATGATGAGTCACACCATTGTGGTTGAAGAGTTGATTCCATTCATTTTCTCCGATTGCCCTTCATGCAGGTCGGCGTTCAATCCCCGCTGACTATATAGTCGTAATGATTTGGCACTTTCCCTTGATAATTCCTTTCCCTTCCCTCCTATTGCCCTTTTCTTGTGGATTTTCCATTGTAGCATTTCTTACAGCTGAACTCCTCTGTATTGTTTGCAGCTCTTTCTGTCTTCCCATGTGGTGTGTCTGGGATTGCTGGCCTGTAACCTGTGTGGGAGATTGATAGTAGACCACCTACCTTGAGGTTACCTTGAGGTGCTTCCGGGGCTTAGTGTCCCCGCGGCTCGGTCGTCGACCTAGGCTCTTCTTTCAGACTTTCTTCAAGGTGGCAGTATCCTTTGGCTTCCAGACCATTTTGCTAGTCTTGGCTTTATGTATGTTTCCTCTTTGTCTGTGGCTGTTGTGAGGGCTAAATTGTTGTTGCTAAAAAAAAATGGGTTCGTGTTAAATCACCTCGTATAAAACTTGGAGTATACTGTATGTACAGTATATACACTTATTTAATGTTTGTGTATCTATAAACTACACAGTAGGCCTGCAGTTCTATATAGGGATACATTCCCAGAGACCATATATACAATCACATTGTAAATTACATTCATACCTTAACTACAGTACTGTACATCACAGAAAACTGAGAAATCTGTTTATAAATATAAACTTTCTTTTGGCTGGCCTTTATATACAGGCATAGCTGCATATCCTTTATATTTAGTAACATTTGAATGGTGTTTATCTTCAGCATTGTTGTGTCTTGGTTACATCGACAAGAGGAACGTCTACTTATGCCTACCCCAGTAGCTACTCCTGGGGAACCACCACCTACACTCATCCCCCAGACACCCAGCACTAGTTCAGGAGTTTCTCCACTTCCACTTTCAATTACGCCCTCTTGTGGAAAACTGTACCTTCGTCGAGATTCAACAACTAGTTCTTGTGACCCAATGGATCGCATGGAATGGTTAACCTATGAAGTTAGTATATTATTGTTTAATGTACAGTATTTCATAATTATTTTACTATTTTATAATTGCATAACAATTTTAGGGGATACTGAAACCCTTATTTTGTTTCTCTACTGGAATATAATTGCTATTGACTCCTTTAATGCAAACTTTTTTATCGGAAGCATCTGAATTTCAGAGGGACAGTGCCGTATCCTGATTGTCTCCATTATTTAGAGGGAACTACTGTATAGACTTTTGAATCATGGAGGCTCCACTGTACTTGCACACCTTGTCCAACGTACTGGATGCCAACATGTCCAATATTCTACTGGTGGTATTGAGCCACTCTTGGTTCATTTCCCTGGGTTTTTGAGATACACGTTTCCATCCAGAATTGGATTAGTGGAAGTATTTTGCCTGGACTGGAGCCGGGAATTTACAGTATCTTTTATCTCCATTACAGGTGTATCTCTTGTTATCCAAGTTGGAGATCTTTGTGGACATGTCATTCTTTTGGTTCCTTTATGGTCCAGTCCTGGTTCTTCTGTTGTTGCACATGCCCAGTGCCATTTCTGAGGTTGATCCTTATCTCTATCCAAGAAGTTTGTATGTTCAACTTTACCTTGCGATTACCTTGCTATGATTTCAGGGCTCATCATCCTCGTGGCCCGGTCCTCAACCAGGCCTCCCGGCATTTCAAGGTGGCATTTCTGTTATCCTTCGCCTCTGGGCATCATGTTGGCATGCTGCACATTCTTCATTTTAGGTGTGTTTCCTGTTCATTTTGTCTAATGGGTTGTCATCTTTGTGTGACCCAGGATTTATGAAACCTAGCTTCTGGTGGCTGTAGTTTGGGGATCTCTGTGGGCTGTGGGGTATTCCACTGCTGATGGAATTCTCCACTAATGCTCTGGATTACCCTTTTCTGAAACCCAATTATGTGGCTATCATACTGTCTATCCTACAGCCATGTTATTCAGAAATTTGCTATGCTCTCTGCATTACTCTGCAACAGGTCCCTCATGTTTTTAGCTTTTACAGACCAACAGCATTAATATGGCTGTTTTTACTTGGTATGACCAGTTGATATAAGAGCATAATAATAATAAAGAAAACCTGCAAAAGGCCTACTGGTTCATGGCAGGCAGCCTCTATTTATACTCCCCCAAACTTATCCAAAATAGAAAAATGCCATTTTAGATGGTAGATTTATTGCACAGGTTGCTGGATTCTTTCAGGCAAAGATTAGACAAATTGTGAGTGAGTGAGTGGCTGGGTATAAATAAGAGCTTCATCGCATGGGTCAAAAGGTATTCTGCTGTCTATTATTTTTATGTTCATTCTGAGAGAGCAAAGAGGCATTTGCATTTTGTAGTACATTGTGTCCTTTTTTTTTATATTGAGATGTTTGTGATTTTTATTTTTAAAAGAATATTTTGTAGTAATGTCTGTGTGTTTAGATCTACTCTACTTGGCATTGGAAACTTGGGACATCCTAATCTTCTGGTTACAGTTAAACCCTTCAATGGCTAAGCTAATTAACAGTCCTACAGTGTGGTGTGCATGAAAAAAAAAACTTCATTAAGGATCAACAGCATATGGCAATTTGAGCAATCACTATCTGCATGTAATTGCAGATAGTGATTGGAACCATTTAAGTGTTGAAACTGTACAGCTGTGTTTTTTCAGATTTATTTTAAATTTTCAGGTGATGAAATTTGTGAGGTTCCCCATGATGACCCCAAGACAACTGGCTGACTTACTACTGGTGCCTCTGACCATCAAGTACAAAGAGTTCTTTGTTACCCGCATGGCAATTGGAATGTCATTTCATTCAGGTAAAATTTTATCCGGATGTTTGGTTATAAGTTGTGGTCCTGTGGCAATTTATTTTTTAAACTTGTCAAATTTCACAAATATGTCATATACGGTAAAGGAATTATGAGATTAAAATAAACATAAATGATTGCAAAAATTAGTAGGAGCCATTAAGAGAATTCAAATCCACTCACTTGGTACGAGTACAAAGGAGCCCTGGACCAATCCTAGCTTGGGAGTACAAAGTGAGTGGGTTTGAATTCTCCTCGTGGCTCCTGATTTTCTCGTTGATACATCACGTTAATGTGATTTCACTGTGCATAAATAATTATTAGGTTATGTAGTAGTAGACGATGAAGAAACAAAGCAACAAGGAACAAGGATCCATCATACATCATAGGATGTATGGTGGATTCTATCCTCGTAAGGTGTTCAAACTTTGTGTTGTGTTGTATTTGAAGTACAATATTGTATCTTCTGGGCTCTCACATTCTTCTGTGTCACATGGCATCACAAAGGACTGTGAAAGAAGGCTTCACAAAGCCACACATATCAGCATGTGGTACCACCAATACCTTTGCAGGGTTTTCAGACCTGATTCACATTTTATTATCCCTATGCACATACTTAGTTGGCAGCCAGGAACCTATTCTTATGTTATATGCAATCCACAATAGTTTCTATTTTCAGGGACAACAGGCATGTACTTAGCCCTATCAAGGTTCCCTATGCCAATTATTGTACTCACCTAGCTGTGTTTGCTGGGGTTGGGTTCCGGCTCCTTGGTCGTTTGGTCACTGCACTCGCCCCAGGATGCAACTGACAAAAATTGCCTAATTTATGAATACCTATTTTATTGCAAAGTGAATAAAGGCATCAGGTGAAAGGAAACATGTCCAATGTGTCTGTCCTGCCCGGGGATTGGACCCAGGTCCCTCTTTTGTGAACCGAGGACATAGACCACTGTGGTACAGGACCCGGAATACATTCCACATTTATCTGCATATTGCAGATGTATTATTACAGAATGCTCAATACAAACAGTGGAAATAAATATCTTCAGACAGCAGCAGGTGTATGTATGTGAAATTGGTAAAACAGTGAGGAAGTACATGAGTGAAAATGGTGAGGGGATGAAATATTGAGTGGGTGAAAGACAATACACTTATATGGCATTCTCTTGTTAATAGGATACTTGAGGATTATTTTTTTAACAGAGTTGTACATGGAAGAAATAAGGGTTCATATGGCAAAGGGAAGTGGCCAGTATCTTGATAAGAGAAGAGTGGAACAATTTATAAATGAAATTATAGGTGAAGGGTTTGAGAACTTGAATGAGTTGAAAGGTTTGTTTGGCGAAAGCCTCCTGGGAAAATTTGCATGTTTCCACACCCTAGTGGGAAGCACCCTGTAGAAAGTAATGCATCGAGGCTATTTATATTAAATATAATCATGTATATTCATAAATAAATTGAATGTCATAAATAATGAATTTATGCATTTTGTTTAACGTGTCTTTATACAGGGCAGTGGGAGCGTGTCAGAGAGGTAATGATGGATCCTGATCCTTCAAATCGATTGTTGTTTACCCCGAGGCTATACACTGCAGAACAGTGGAGTGCCAGTCTCACAGTTGATAACCTTCCAGGCTTACCAGCATACCATACTCGAACACTTGTTTTCTCCACCCCAGCTTCAGCCTCTGAATTAGACTGTGACACACAATTAGAATGGATTGTAGAGCTTTATCCAAAGGTAAGATTTAATTTAAAACTTACAAATACAAAAAACATTAATACATAACTATGGAAGTTTTTAGTTTATCCCCACCAGCGAAGATCAATTACTGTACCACCAGAGATGTTTTCTCCAAGGTTTTCCTATTTCTTCCGTGTAGCTTGCTAATGTATGTTTTCAATTTTGCAGGGTGTTTGGTTCAGAAAATTTTACCTAATTGTATGGCAAGGAACTGTTGAAGTCCCAGAAGCAGTTTTAAGAACAGTAAGACTGGCAGTTACAGCAAAGGATGTTGAATATGCTCGTGTACGAATAGCTGTGCTAGTGTTTGCTGTACAAGAAGGCATTGAGTATATTGTTAATGTGGTATCTACAAAGTATATTTTTTCTACAGAAGATAACCTATTAAATCTGGATGATATTCTTCCTTTCGACAGTTTAAATGATCCTCCAGTGAGTATGGATTATTACTTAAAGGTATTTTTATTATTTTTTGAAATGTATTGGTTCATTCTAGATAGCAAGTAGACTAGAATTCTTGTAAAGTAATTAAACTTTAAAGAACTAATTTTTCTTCCTTTAATATAGGAAGCAGTATTCATAATATTATTGATAAATATAGACAAAGCTAAAATAGTTTTAGCACCTTAATAGAGCCTCACTTGCTCAGTATTTCAAAAGAAATATTTTTGTACAGAATTGGATAATTTAACAGCAGACATGGTTATAATGTTATAATGTGAAATATTTGTTGTCCATGTTACTACAGTATATATAATTATGGCAGAAATTGAGAGAAGGAAATTGGCAGATGCAATTAAATTTGTGGGTCAGAAGAATACGATTGTAAGACACTTTGCAAGAGGCTTGTATAAGTGATTGTGCCGTCTTTTTATGTGCAGTTGTGATTTTCGGGTATGGCATAAGTATGAATAATCAAGTGTTACAGAAGTATAAATGACAAACTAGCAATATGTTTATGGTGTTAGAAGGGATAAAGTAAAGAATCAAATTATCATAGAAAGATGTGGAGTGCAAAAGGTACAGGACATCATCAAACTGCAGGATATGGACAAACTGCAAGGAAAATCTCTCTTCCACATACTTGTGCAATATGTGCTGAAAATTTGGCCAATATGTCTTGGTTTGTAAGTCTGGTGGTACTTTTTCCTTTTATCACATCTGATCCCTCTAAATCTTCCTATAAAGCCCAATTGGCAAGCCACGTATATTTTGGTCATCCTCCTTTTCTAAGCCCTGTAACAATGAACATCAGCCCTTTTACAATGAACATCCATTGCACTGCTACTTTTCCATATAAATACTGTACTCTTTTTTTTTTTTTTTTATGTGAGGAAAATATTTAATTATATATCTTCTGATCAGGAATACTTTGTGAGCGATGTATCAAGACTTATTACCTAAAGCGATAATTCAAACATTTGTAACTACGTACACACGGCATTTTTTGTATTGAAGTGCTGGAATGAATACTTTGTGATTAGTGTGTGTAAGCCAACCTTTCCTGTCATTCTGTGCTGTATAGTGATTTGTATGTTAGTCAATATCCCTTCCATGTGGAAGTAGTATTGATATTTGCGTGCAATTTTCGTTCATTTTCCCATAAAGTTTATACACTGTATAAAGTGTTCATAGCATGTTAGAAATTTCTTTGATTTTTCTCTAATACAGCACTTTAACATCTCTCTCTATTCCAACAGGAAAGGAAAAGATACCTGCAAGAGCCTTGTGATTCTCTCAAGATACATATTGTTATCAGCCCTCTTAGTGACCCTAAACTCGATGCTGCTGGAATCACCTGATATGTTGCCATCTAATAATAGGCACAAAGTAGTTTTTATCTATTGTGTGACTTGTCAGCAAATTTTTTTTTTTTTTTTTTTTTAAATTTCATTGAATCTTAAATAAAGTTACTTCTCTCGTTATTTAAATTTTAAACTTTTTTATGCATGTTTATATATATACGAGAATATATTTACTATACAGTGTTAGGACACACACAAAAAAAAATATTTGTGAATTTGGCCTTCACTTTGCATGAAACTTTAAAAAGCCATAAACATACAGTAAACCTGTATTTCTTGGCTGTACTCTCATCTTGGTGTGTGATGTGACATGAAGAACACATGACATTACAAATTAAATTCATCATTTACTTTTTTTTTTTTAGATTAAGATGAGTTAGTTTTAAATGACAAATTTTTATATAAAAATGCCATTGTTACTGTTGGACTATTCTTTTGCTTTGTTAGTAGCTAGAGCAAGTTTTGAGATCGGTTAGAAATGTTGATAATTAATTTTGTTAATAGTGTGGAGGATTGAATGAAGATGTTTTTAAAAAGATTCTTTTTTTTTTTTTTTTTGGAAAAAACTAAACATACAGTGGAACCTCAACAATCCAGACTATGTAGTTCCAGACCCCTTCCGGATTTAGAGAAAATTCAAAGTTATTTTTTTTTTTTTTTTTTTTTAATACGGCCTTTGATTTTGGTCGCCTTATGTCCTTTAGTTCTCGCATTGGCATCTTGAGTGATATTTAGTGACTTATAAATATCCAATGACACAGATGGTGCTAGGGTACATGATCTTTCTGGCTTGATGCCTTCTTTTGATAATTACTTAATTACTTTTTTACATTTTTGTTGTGGGGGTTTTGTAACCAAAAATAATATACATATTTTTGTATGTTGACACTGTATATACAAAGATTTCCGAGTGTTAAAATGTCAAATATATATAATACAAATTTAATTTTGTGTTCTCCTATTGAAAGGCTACTTATAAACTGCCTGATCTAACTCTTCAGTATTTGCCTTTGTTCACCCTTCACCATTTTTCAACATCAATACAGTATTTTCATCCCTGTGGAATACCTTTTCTTCCTTCAGTCCAACCGCTTGGACTGGACGATAGTGACGGTCTCGCATCACGCAGGTCGGCGTTCAATCCTCGACAGTCCAATTGGGTTGGCACCATTCCTTTCTCCCCATCCCATCCCAAAGCTTTCTCCTGATCCTTTCCAAGTGCTATACAGTGTGTAGTTATTATGACTTGACACTTTCCCCTGATAATTCCTTCCCTTCAGTCTAGTTGGACTCTAGAGAAAAGTTATGAAAATCCCTAAGTGTACCAACAGATCCAGCACACTAGCACAAAGAAAAATGCACCTGTGTCAGTAGGACTTTGCCACAAAAAAAAAAATCTACTAATTATTGCATAACTTAATAGTCAAATTACAGTAAATAGTTTAAGAACTACATTTTCTTTTTCAAGAATATTTGCTACTGTAGCTGTAAAGGCAAAACTAGTAAAAATGTTCAACAAATATAAGTTACAAGTTAAAAAGATACCAAGTCAATCTGCAAATTTTCCCCCTGCATGTTGAAAATTTGGATTCCTCTTCAGATTTTGAACACTTGTTCTGACAGCAAAGTCTTTCTGGATTTGTAAGGCTTGATGGTGCTACATAGTCTACCCCGGCTTGGTGCCTTCTTTTGATTACTGCTTATTGTAAGGTTTCTGCTATTTTGAGTTCTGGATTTTAGAGGTCCCACTGTACTTAAACAGAGTACATTTCTCATGGCTTTTCTTTTGCCAATTGTCACTGGATCAGAACAGTTTATTTTGCTGCCCATAATGTTATACAGTGTTGTACTAAGGGTAGTAATAACAGAAATATTATTTTGTTGATACCACTGTAAAAACTGACTTTATCATTATTAAGTAAAACAAAATCTCGTTAATTAAATTGTTATTGCCCATATGTCTCTTCTTGTTGTTATATGTATAATGTTAAACACCTTGTCTGGTGAACACAGATCAATCAATATATAGGGGTAACTTACCTCCATGCTTTTATGCATAATTATTACAGTATACCAAATCATGCTTACCTAAAATATATTGATAATTTTCCACAAACACTATGTATGTGGCAATCATGCCATTTACTGCATTTAAACAAAAGAATTCTTAATCAAATGAACAAATTCACAAGGGCCGTGATGAGGGTTCGAACCTACGCATGGGATGTTCCCAGCAGTGTCTTAGTCAACTGTGACATGACATGGTAGGTTCGAACCCTCAACACGACCCTTGTGGATTTGTTCATTTGATATATCACGCCATTGTGATTTTTGTGTGTAATTCTTAATCATCTACCCCGTGTCAGTAAATCTAAACAATATTTGAGAAAATGGTTTTGGCAACATGTCATTAGCTTGCCAATGTATATGAATACAAATTTTAACAGCATTTACCTTTGAGATAAATAACTTGAAATTTGGAAAACTTTAAGATATACTTTAACAACTGCAACTCATTTGGCAAAACTTGTACTGCAGTCTGATCACAAAACAAGATATAATGTGACTCCACTCAGACGGACTTTGATTTACAGATCTTGTGGTACTGTATATTCAAATAGATTTGTTCTGATACAGTTGTAGACACCATTCATGCAGATCAAATCCTTAAAAAGCGTGTTGTGTGGTTCTGGAGTGTATCAGTATACACTTGTACAATGTGTACCAACCTCATGACACAATGTGTACAACTTCAGTTTGTTGAGCTAGCTAATAGACATCTTGCTTATCTTTTAATAAATGTATTTAATGATGTACTTAACTGTAGTAAGTGTATTTTTATGGAAATATAATATAGTACAGGGAGTTAATTATCCAGTTCTGTACATACTGTATGCAAAACTCTTGAAACGGAACTCCTTTTGGCCATTCAAGAATGACAAAGCAACTGCTCCTCTTTACAGAGGTAAGTACAAATATCATTGTTCACTATGTAATGTACAGAATCTATTCTTATTCACATTAACAAAATTATTGTTAACAATGAAGACTAAACCACACACCAGAAAATGAGGATACGACGATGTTTCAGCATAGTGTTTAAAGTTTAAATAAAAAATCCTTCCTGCCTCTACTCTTCACAAATACTGTCTTGTCGATGTGTTCTGATACAAAACCTACCCAACATGAACCTGAATCCTGGCTTTGTTGCAGTTGACTCTCCCTTTCACAGTACATACTCAAATGTTCTGAACTTTCTAACAAATGTGACCTAACATAAACCTATCCATCGTTTTTCTCTTTCTTTCTCCCCTTTTTCTTATGTTCCCATTCTTACACCTATTATTACCCCCTTACATCCCCTTTATTACATCGATCCCATCTGTACCTTTTGCCTTGCTCTTACCGTCCTCTTAACATTTCCTCCTCCTCACCTCTGTCTTTCATCTCTCGTCTCATTACAGGTTATTCATGCCCATGCCACCTCTTGGGTGGCTTAATCTTCTTCAGTCAATCAATCTCGTCTCATCACAATCGACTTGTTTATAGTCCAGGATTGATTGAAACGTCATCGCCTCCTCATTTTTTGGTGTGTGGTTTAGTCTTCGTTTAGTCTTTAGTGTGGTTTAGTTTAGTCTTCATATCTTATTCCACTATACGTTATTGTAACTCATCTGGATTGTTAACTGGATTTTAACAGACATTATTAAATGTCTGTTAAATTAAATTCTGTAGTTCCTCAACTTATTTGACGTTAGTTCACTTGACCGTGTTGAAGCTATGATTGGAACGTGCTTCGTTCACCTCGAACCACAATATCGCAAACACTCCCAAAATCATTGTAACCTAAACACCTTAAATATGTACTCTTACTTAATAATAAGACCTAATGCATAAATCCAGAATATATAATGTTGACCAAACCACACTAGTAAGTGAAGGGACGATGTTTCGGTCCGTCCTGACCATTCTCAAGTCGATTGTGATGAGGGAATGATTGATGAAGATTAAGCCACCCAAGAAGTGGCATGGGCATGAATAGCCCATAAGATGAGGGAAGGAGGCAAAGACAATAAATAGGCAAGAAATAGAGAGGGTGAGGAGAAGAAAATCTTAAGAGGAAGAAAAAGCAAGGCAAAAGGTATGAAAGGTAAGGTATAATAAAGTAGATAGTAATAAGAAGAAGGGATAGTAATAAGAATAAGAAGGGGATCATAAGAGAAAAAAAGGGAAAGAAAAAGAAAGAACCGAAAGAAAGATAAACGGAAGGGGTAAACTTATGTTAGGTCACGTTTGTTAACTTTAGGTCAATATGTTCAACATATTTCAGCCACGTTATTGTGACTCCTCGTCAGAATATATAATGTTTATTTTTATTTGATAAAAAATATACTGTACGAAAAATTCATCCTGTCATTGTCTATATAATTTAGTCCATCAAATACAATGACAGACTTAGTAATATATATGTTAGTATTTGACTTGTGTGACATTTCAACCACTTGTGTGATTGAAATGTCAATACAAAGATCGCCAGACATTCAAGTGCAAGAAATGTGGCAAATATTTTGGAAAGTTCTGAGTTATCGCTTGTCATCATAACTATAGGTGACTATAGTCTACAGATTGCTAATTGCATGACGGGATGAACAACCCAGCGGGTTTTTTTCATATTGTGGGTGTTGTATATGCTGCTATGGTAGTTTGCTCATAGGATGAGTGACGCTGCCCAGTAAACGCCCTCTGGGGCAAAATTAAACTACCAGTTAATTGGGCTGCCCGGCCACCAGGTGGCAACATCATGCCCGGCCTTAGTCCCAGTGACCCGAGACAGTTCACATGTTCCCAGGCTGGTGAGCGTTGTGTGGTGGTGGTCACGAGGAGAGGGACTAGCTTCCAGTTGTACTTGTATTTCATCCAGAAAAATATACTTTTGTGGGCACAACTGTGAGCGCCGTATATCTGTAAGTATGAGATAAAAGTTTTTTTGTTTTTTTGCGTATGTGTAGATCAAGAGCTAGCTATGAGTTCATCTAATACCTCATCCCACATGATAGTTAGCATACATGGAATCAGGAGAGAACACGAAATGTGAGTCTAATCTATTGGCCTGCACTAGCAGAATCGGGCACAAGGCTAAAAGGGAGTAAAGTGATCATTAACATCAATTAGGGTTCCAGACACATAGAAGAAAGATGAAACTTATAGTGCACCGCCAATACTTGTACATGCAAAAAAAAACTTTGTTCGGGCTAATCTTTTCCCCAAGTGGAGTTGCAAAGGGCAAAGTAGGAGTACTGAAGCTGTATGAGAGATTCAGCATGGAATTTATGGGCAAGGCGAGAATCGATACCAGTAGCTAATATGAGTTAACGGAGCTTAGTTAATTGCGTTTACCATGACTGCAATAACGGAACCATAAAGCTGAAGGACAGGTATTACATTAGTAACGAATTTACGCGCAATCTTGAGAATCTTCCGTCCTGACTTCCAGGACGAGCGTGTGTCTTGCTTTCCCACCGCCCCTCGCGATCGTCTGTCCCTCAATAGAATTCTTGGTGACTCGGATACTTTTGATATCGTTCGCCTTATGCGTTTTTGTTCTCGTATTGGCATCCTTGGTGATATTTAGCGCCCTCTGATTATTCCGCACATTTGCTGGTGCTACATAGCCTTCCCGGTTTGGTGCCTTCTATTGATAATTACTTACTTGAGAATCTTCCGTATACTAGTATTGGACGGATATTAACACTGATAGTAGAGATATCTTTTTTTCTAAATTAATGACCCTGTTGACCTTGAGATTTACCTTTTTAAAGTAAATAATCCTAATAATTAAGCCAAATATCTTAATTTCCCAAAGGAATGCACTCGTGCTGCCGGAATGAAGTAAAATTGGTTGAAACCGGAGATAAGAAGACTAAACGTGTAAGGAATATAGACGGATGTGGGAAAGATTTTTCGTCACATTTGTCAAACTGCAACCTGGAAAAATGGACAGCGAAAGGGAATTAGGAATCACTGAGGGAAGGAGGGTAGAAATAGCCTAAGCTCCTCTATCCTTTTGAGATATTTCTTATTGTCTTGATAAACGTTACCTGAACTTGTTCACTGCGGATTGTTATGGAGCCGTTAAGTCTGGTGCAGAACATCGGGTGGTGGTTTAATTAAATACTCAAAAAAGCTTAAAATTCAATGAGAGATTGGAAGATGGGGAGAGAGAAAGGAAACTGATAGTATACAATTTATTCACGAATATACGAGTGATTTGGGATGGAAGTTTGACTGAAAACTACGGGGAAATATGGAAAATTTAAGAGCCGTAATACCATGAGAATCACTGAAAGAATCCACATTAGCTCTGCTTAGGGTTGGTAGCTAATGGTTTTGATACTCCTTCAGGATGTGGTTGTAGTGATGGGCGTACTTCTTTTTTCATAAAGTGCGATTCACTTGGCAATGATTTTTTCTCAGTAGTTATCTGTAATAAGTCACTGGAACTGCTTGACCACTCTGGCACCATCATCATGTGGGATTCATTCGTCATAATTTTCTCGGCCAGTCCTTAGGGAAGTAAAGTGATCATTAACATCAATTAGGGCTCCAGACACATAGAAGAAAAGTGAAACTTATAGTGCACCGTCAATACTTGTACATACAACAAAAATCCTTGTTTAAAGCTTTAAGCGTGTAAAAATATGTGCTTGATTTTTTTTTTAATTTTCTATAAAATATATTCATATATTTTTTATATAAATATCTTGAAAGTAGACAGTGACACTTACCTTTAATTGAATTTGTTTTGTTTCCATAAGCATAATGACACTGGTATCCAAGAGCAAAGGTAATGGGAATAAGTGGGAACAGGACGACCCAGCTGTTTGTTTTGATATATCCGTAATACAGAAATCCGTATGAAGATAAAGTGAAGGGCACAAACCAGACCATCATCTCGCGAACAGTGGCCACCTGCATAGCCATCTGTCTCTCTGCCATTCTCCGTGCTAGTTCTACTTGCCCAGAAACCTGAAAAAAAGAGAATCATAAAAGGAATATATACACTAAAATGTTGTATTCTGCTTCTCTGTGTATATGCACACTATAGACTGTACGCTTGAGCTATATTTTAAAGCCTAAAGTAGACTAAACCAGTAACTGGTTAGTCAGCAAGCTGTTGTGGTGACCTTATTAACTCTGGAGTAAATTAAATTGAAACGGCGTCATATAGTAATGTTTAACAAATACTCTACGTGTCACAAGTGGAAAAATTTTAGTTAGCGAAAACACTACTCCTGCCATGAGTATCCAAACTGTGAAACCAGAACGAAGTAATCTGAAATAGGTTTCCTATCCCTGACAAACTGGAATTAAAATACAGTAGTATGAATAGTGTGGCCCTGCTGTATGGCTAACCACAACAGCTCTGTCAATTACAAATAATCACATAGTTCCATAGCACTGAGTAATTGTGTCGTACAGTACACGAGAAATATATTACTTCGTTTCCCCACAGCTATGTTAACACCGAACTGAACAATAATTAAAGAAAACCCAATTAAAAGTAATTAAGGAATCCCCTTTAAACAAGCGTCCCAACCAAGGTTCTTTAATAAAACAATGGATACGCGTGCACTTTCACTTATCACTAACTATAGTGACGAGTCATCTTCAACGTATCAGTGTTTTTGTCAACTTCAGAGCTTAGTGTGCATTGATGTTGTGTTCATTAGCGTATCCTCTTGGGTGTAAAAACCGCCTATATATTAGGGGTGGGAGAATAGTTTGGCTAATGGCTATACTAGCTGTCGGGTAGTAATGAGATCGTGTAAGAATAGAGGAATCTGCAGGCCTGTTGATCCATATGGGTGCTGTGCTGAATTTCAGCACCACATACAACACACAGCCAAAAAGAGTCTCGAAAACGGTCGGTGTATATTCTAAAATCCGATATTATGTTCCCCACTCTGCTCTCCTCTCGTTATACTACGCACTAATCTATTCCTATCTTACATACGGTATCTGTGCATGGGGTTCAACCACTGCAAATTATCTCAAGCCTATCATCACTCATCAAAAATCTGCTGTCAGAACTATAACAAGCTCTTTCTTCAGACAACACACAGCCCCTCTGTTTAAGTCCCCTAACATGCTAAATATACACTCACTCCACACATTTTCATGTGCTATCTACACGTATAAAACCTTGTTCCTAAATGCTAATCTTGAACTGAAACTTTTCATTGATAGGTGTAATAGAACTCATGAGCAACACACTATCTCGAGAGTCAGACTAAATCTGTGCAAACACTCCATGCAAATAAAATTGCTCATTCATTGGAACTCACTCCCTGATGAATTAAACAAATTGTCCAACCCATCCCTGTTCAAAAATAAAACCAAAAAGTAGCTAATTTCATCATAGTTTCCTACTTTGTGCTTCAAACCCACTGTATCTTGTACTACCCACTTCCCCAATATTTGTCTCAAGACATCCTAATCAGTGTAATCACCTACGTCAATTTACATTGTAGTTATTTGTTAAGATAAAACGTTGCTACAATGTACCGTTTCATCTTACCTGATATGTTTTATTAAGGACCTGCCCGAAACGCTATGCGTGTTAGAGGCTTTGTATGAATTTAAAAATACCAACCTTATGTAATCTCACCAACCCATTGTACCTTCTTGCAAATAAATTAGTATTAATATTCTTATTATATGAGGCAGCTCCTCTTATACCCAACAAAACTCATTCGTATACCTCTTTAATGTTACATATATAACCCTCCCCCCCTCCCCCCAACAAGTTTTTCTATCCGTCTCCCTTACCGCTTAATTCCTCCTCAATCTTTTCTATCAGTGTTGTTCCTTCTGTCATATCGGTCCCTGTACTCTGTCTCCTTTAAATTAATTATCCCTCCCACATTATATCTGTCCTCTTGTCTACCCCCCCCCCCTCACTCCCTCCTATCTACCCCCGTCACTCCCTCCAATCTACTTTCTCAACTCACCATATCTGTCTTCGGTTTAGATTCTGATTCCTGTCGATGTTTCGATTCTGCTTTTACTGTGGCACTCTGTTGAGAACCCATTTCTGAGCACGTCACAATGCACTTCGCGCATCACTTTTTTTGTTTTCAAGGTTAAATGTTCATTGGGGTTTCAGTCTGAAGAATTATTCTGAAGTTGGACCCGCCCAGAGACGCCGGGAAGGGGTTGATCAGCCCAGAGACACCGGGGAAGGGAGCTGATCCGCCCAGAGACGCCGGGAAGGGGTTGATCAGCCCAGAGACACCGGGGAAGGGAGTTGATCCGCCCAGAGACGCCGGGGAAGATAGACCCGCCCAGAGACGCCGGGGAAGGGGGTTGATCCGCCCAGAGACGACGGGGAAAGGGGTTGATCCGCCCAGAGACGCCGGGGAAGATAGACCCGTCCAGAGGCGCCGGGTGTCGAACTAAATCTTAATCTCGCTTATGTATACCTCTGAAGGGGGAGGGGGGGGGCAGGTAATAGAATATAGGACAGTGTGACGTCATAAATATTTTCATATTTCGGATGAATATAGTTGTTTGGATGAAAATCCTATAATTATATGGTATATAATATATACCTGTACACAACTTGCACATTATAAGGTGATACTGTCAGTATGTACGTGATATTTATTTGGTTAAATGTTACGTGCTGAAAACATAGTGGAAGTGTTTAGTAACACCTGGCATCTTTGATAGCTGAGCTGTATAATCAGGCCGTTCTCCCAAGCGTTCACGGGAGACATCTCCCGTCACGTAGGGTGCAGTCGCACCTCCTCAGATCTCCAGTATCAGCTCTTGATACTGGTAATGGCTCAAAAGGGCCACCACTTACGGGCTATTCATGCCCGTGCCACCTTTTGGGTGGCTTAATCTTCATCGATCATCATCCGAGCGTTCCCAGCGTCAAGAAATTGACGTTGTACTAAAGTGCCTCTAGGAGTTATCACGCCAAACCTGTCTCCTGAAGCCCACATCAAAAGAATAACATCAGCGGCCTATGCGAGGCTGGCTAACATCAGAACTGTTTTCAGAAACTTGTCCTGGAGTATGCAGCCCCAGCATGGAGCCCGTACCTTGTCAAGCACAAGACGAAGCTGGGAAAAGTTCAGATATATGCCACTAGGCTAGTCCCAGAACTAAGAGGCATGAGTTACAAGGAAAGGCTGCGTGAACTGCACCTCACTTCGCTGGAAGACAGAAGAGCTCAGGGAAACATGATCACCACATACAACGTTCTCAGGGGAATTGACTGGGTAGACAAGGATGGACTATTTAACACGGGTCGAACACGCACATGGGGACACAGGTGGAAGCCGAGTACCCAAATGAGCCATAGAGATATTAGAAAGAACTTTTTCAGTGTCAGAGTAGTTAGTAAATGGAATGCATTAGGAAGTGATGTGGTGGAGGCTGACTCCATACACAGTTTCAAATGTAGATATGATAGAGCCCAGTAGGCTCAGGAATCTGTACATCAGTTGATTGACGGTTGAGAGGCGGGACCAAAGAGCCAAAGCTCAACCCCCGCAAGCACAACTAGGTGAGTACTAATTTTCCAGGGAACCCACGAGTAGAAAACGGGACATCATGTCAATTTCGCGAGCCGCTGCTATTTTCTAGTACTGTACAACAGTTTTTGGCCTTGGGTAGAGTATACGTCAAAATTCGACGTGCTACCATAATGTAGGACCATAATGTCTGTGTGGGTGTTCAATATATTATACTATAATAATATACGTTATACTATATATGGTTCATCAATGTTGTAATTTGTGTAGGTAAAGCAAATATTTAGTTTCCATACCTGAGCCCATTATACATGTGCCTCTATAACATTTCCACCCCGCATATAGCCACAGCTCACATGATGGCATAAATGATCAATAAGCTATCATATCCTTCTGACTGTTATCACTAATGAACAGTCTTGGTAATGTTATCATGGCGAGAGAGCACAAAGCCTTCCTTGTTATCAGCTGAGCAGTGTTGTCACTTATACTCCTAAACCTTTATCATGATTTGGAGACCAATTCCTATATAATCTAACGAAGTAAACACCATTAAAATATTCATTATATTTGTTGAAAATTTTATAAAAAAAAAGGTTTTAGCTAATTGCTGGGTTAGGAATATAAATAAAATTGTATTAAAAGACAAAACGTTGAATAATTTAGATTGGATAATAATTTGGATATAAATAATTTTGAAGAAACAATTACAATTATAATTTGAGACTTGGGGTTTATCAAGGTAATGTGGGAAGTTGGTAAATAGGTAGGCTTAGAATTTGGGAGATAATGAAATGTATGGAAATGGGAACTACTGTATTAGGATAAAGTATCAAGCCATTACGACTGACTATACAGCACTTGGCAAGAACCAGGATAAGGATTTAGGATGGGACGAGGGGGAGGAATAGTGCCCAACCACTTGGATGGTCGGGGACTGAACGCCGATCTGCATGAAGCGAGACCGTCGTTCTACCGTCCAGCCCAAGTGGTTGGCGATGGAAATAGGAAATAAAGGTCAAATGAAAGTGCAGTAGAGGTTCGAAGTGCTGGGCGTGCTAGGAGGCGAAGAAATCCCGAAGTGGTGTATAAAGGGATCAAGAGAATAACAGAAGGGCAGAGGCTAGTCGTACTAGCCCGGCGAACACACTGTAGAGTACTAGGGGCAGGAGTGAAGAGTACAAACGGAACCGTCGTGGCGTGGACAGGGTTGGCAGCTAAGGAGGACGAGGTTGAAGTATGGAGGCAAGTGTGTAAGGACAGGAACAGACGTACAGTAATAGGAAAGTTAGGTAACCAATAGGAAGGGGGGGGGGGCACGGGGCGGAGCCTTTCCCCTTCCAGGAGACAAGGGGAAATGCCAGGGAGAGACAGTGGAGCGAACAGCGGGCGATCTGGAAAGAGAGGAGCAAGTCGCCTGAACGTGTTAGAAGTACCCCCCAAGGTCGAGCAAGGTGACCAAGGCCCGCCTCTATTGTTGTTAATCAGAAGACATCTGCATTCCTCTTCTCCGAAAAGGCCCCAGTCTTTAGGCATGCTTTATTTTTAAAATAGTGTAACGTGTGATTTTTGGGAGGCGGCATTCAAAGAATATATCATGGTTTTGATGTTTTAAGCTTTTTTCTTTTTACCACAGACATGAAAAAACATATACAGTGCTAACCAGTCTTGGTTACAGCAGTCAGATGTTGGAAATGATGTATCGTGACAGCTAAGACGAGAGAATGTTGCGTGCGGCTTGCAGTCGAGTAGGATTTAGTGTCGACGGTTGCCGGGTGTAGAGAGCTTGAAGAAGGATGAGAGCGTAGAGTTTGAGTGTCGGGTGAGAGTGGATAGCTGGAATAAGATCGGAATTGCAATCTGCTTTAAAGCAAGGCTGTAATGTCTTGTGAGAGTTGGAACTAGACTCGTCGAGTGTTACATCATATGCTGGTGTATATTGATGGTGCTGGAGAAGATCGTGGTATATTCTGAGCGTTTGTCACTGAACCATCATTGGAATTACACTGACGACATTAAGAATGATTCAGATTAAGCCACCCAAGAGGTAGCACGGGCATGAATAGCCCGTAAGTGGTAGATATTTTGAGTGAATGTGATGACACTACATTCCTGGTGGGCTTATTTCCACGCTTCACCTCGACTTGCGTTGGACACAGAAGGATGAGAAGCAAGTTGATCATCATTTGCCCTGTTGGGAAAGAAGTTGAAAGTCTGGAAAGTCCAGAAGTTGCACTTTGTTGGTAGTTATTTTTAATGCCATTGTCATCCATCAAGATCTTAATTAGTTTCCTTCTCCCCCTTTGCATGTATTTTAGAACAAGTTCAATGATGACCCATGTAAAGTTTTCCCATGATCAGGGGAGGGTGAAAAGAGAAAAAGGTAACAAGGATGGGGAAATTGTCACTGCTATGGAGGTCATCAAGAACCTGCCATGTGAAATCTAAGTAAAGAGATGACGAGCAGAGAAAAAGGTCAAGACAGGAAAGGGTGCGGGTTCGAGAGACCAAATGAGTGGGGCTCACCAGAATTCAGAAGACGGAAGAAGAGAGAACGAATGGTTCGAGAAGGTGACCTCGGGTGTCTGTCAGAACATCACTCCAAAGGGTATGTCGACAATTGAAATCACCCAGCAGGAGCACAGGCTCAGGCAAGGAGTCCAGTAGGTGCTTAAGTTCAGGAAGAAAATGCAAGACACTTGGGGGGGAGATAAATGGAACAAACTGTATACCATTTACTTCCAAAGACTCAAGCAGTGGATGGATGATGGGAAAAAGAAGAGGGACGAAGGGAATACCAGAAAGAATAAAGAGAGCAGTAGTTATGGGCCCCAGCAAAAGCTGGGAAAGGGGGAGGGGGAAGAGAAAAAGAATAGCCACAAAAGCGACCAGGACGATCACCAAGCATCGGCTCCTGGAGACAGACACTAAGGGGCGAAAACTGTGAAATCAGAAGTTGGAGTTCATGGAAATTGGCGTAATATCTACAAATATTACATTGAAGAATATACATCGACAAAAAGAAAAAGGACAGCAACAGAGAACAATGAAGAAACAAAGGTAAAAAGGAATACAGCATGTTAAATAAGCTCAGGGTCAGCGAAGTCAGGGTTAGTGGGGGGCATGGGTAAACTGAGTAAGGATGGAGGGAAAGGAGCAGGAGGCAGACGAGCAGGGTCCGGAGGAAGAGGAGAAGGAGACAACCAAGAGCAGGTCAAGGACAGCAGGAGGTGGAGGGGCAGAAACCAGGGTGTGTACCTCAGCAAGGGCAGCAACTGAGAGGGAAGCGGGGGTTAAAAAAACCTCCATTGCAGGAACAGAAGGCCCGACCACTGAGACGGGAGGGGACGGAGCGTTGGAGTCAGAGGTGAGGGGACGAGGAAGAAAGCGACGCCTTCTTACCCACTAGGGAGGAGGAAGGAGAGGAGCCAGGCTTATGTTTCTGACTCAGACAAGTGTTCCAGCAACAACGTACTGGGCGACAGACTCGAGCGTCTCAACAGGAGAAGAACGAGAGTGAACAATACGAAGATTGCTGGGAGGATGATGGACAATAGCCTGTCCAGACAGGCGGCGTGGAGAGCTAAGAGACGGGAGAGAAGGATGGGAGGGAGATGAGAAAGAAGACACAGGAGACATGGCAGACTGAGTAGGAAGAAGGGAAATTCCAGACAGAGAGCCAGGAGGGGGACCCTTTGGGACAAAATGTAAAGGAACAGGGAAGAAGGCAGTGGGCGTGTTTGGGTCTAAGGCCTGGAAACAGTTGTGAGACTGAGGAAGGTGGAAAGGACGAGGAGAGGAAGAGCGCAACACGCGAGCATAAGACATGGCAGCGAAAGGGGTGAGACGGCAAAATTGGCGCATTGCCTCATTAAAAGACAAACGATCTCAGTGTTTCAAGTTGAGGATGGCTGCCTAAAGTTTGT